TACACACGTGCCCCCCTCGCGGGGGTGGGGGGGGTGCTTCTTGTTCGTGGGTGGTTGTCGCCCGCGCAGGGGGGGGGGGGGGGGGGGGGGGGGGGGGGGGGCTGAGCCCCCTCTACAGCTTTTTTCTGGTTACGCTCCTAAGCAGGAGATGAAACTTAGATATTTGTTAATTATCACAAGCCTATGAAATGGGATGCTTCTACGGAGCTACTGATATTAGCTGATTTGGATATGGATTCCATTTCCTGTACGATTAGTGATTCATCGTTATGGTTCAGTTAGTTGTACAATCTCTGTGTTTCTCTCATCTCCTCGTGCTTGACATCGACCAATTAATTAGCAAGATAAAACAGGACTATATATTCAGCAACAAACTAGCTGTCTACGTTTTTAACAATACTTAAAAAGATATTTATCAAATGGTCACAGCAATCAGCCCAAACACAGCTTTCTAATTCTCACTGTCAAACAATCTCACCAAAAAAAAATGTCAATAACCTGATGCAAAATTCGGACAACAATCGGTTGTTGTACTGAATATGATCTTACAGATGTAGTCTTCTCGTCCCACTAATTCAAAAGAATTTAATAATAGTGTTTCTGGCATGAATGGATAGGAACACACGCCTAAGAAATGAGCGAACAGTTGTGTTCTCAAGTTGCTAATAGAAGATCCTACTTTCAAAGAATTCGAACGGTGTTTTAGACTGATAATATCATGCAGTGTCTAATAACTTTCGTTCATTATAGAGTGAAGGATGATGTTTCCTTTGTTCAATTAAAAGTTGTTTCATCTCTCTCAATACGATCTGTATCTTGTTTTTCATTGGAAAAGTCGAAGTGTGAGGAGTAGTAACGTAAGCACAGACACGTTCCAGAGTGGGAGGATTAAGAACTCAGTCACAAACTGAAACTATCGCAGGAGGGAGCTAAGCACATTAAGACGAGCGTTTCATAGTGTTCAAATTTTTCTAGGGTAGTTAAATGCTCTGTGGTTACGTCACTAGTTGTGAGAAGCAGAGAGTAACATCCGCGCTGCAGGAAATAATAGAATATGATGCATAATGACATTTTCTGGCGCTGTCACAAATAGTAAGAAAGATCCACCTCGAAGATAAAGAAGCGTTTTCCTGGAGCTATGAATCTAACATATTTCTTCTTATTTAATTGAACAAGCGATAAATGTATTATGAACAAATAAAGAATGGAAGCAGCTAAAAATACGGCAGTTTTCTTCATTAGGTAACCAAGAGTCAAGGAATATGTATTAGAAAGAAACTTTTCGAATAGATTTATGTAAACTTGCCGATACACGATCTCTTGTCTCAAAATACTTAATGAGTGCTTGTTTAACTTGCAACACATTAATTTTCATCTGTGCTAAATATGGTAACACTCCTTTTTCTCTTCTAGAAATCAATTCAAGCTTTATAAATAAATATCCAACGAAATTCGAACTAATCAGTTCTTAACCTATTGGACTGAAACTTCAAAATGGGCATGAAAAAAATCGATCAGTAGGTGACAAAACCTAAAACATATCAAGCCTTTTTTTATGAAGATCTAACAGAACCAAAGTTTTCCGAAGAATGGTTTTTGTTAGTATCTGCATTCAGCAAATTTTTTTTCTAATAAACTGAAGAATGCAATAAATAATTACAGAAGTAGTTTTTTTGCGCATAAATATATGCAAATGCACTCTTTTGTATTAATATGACTCCTAGATACAATTTGATATTGTTGTCATGCGCGTTCATCGTAAGACTGTTGCATTCAGCCAGTCAATAAATAGAAATTCATTTTTGTAAAATATAACCTTTCATGACTCTTTTGCATCAGTGACTATATGAATAAATAATAATAAGTTAAAAGAAAAAAGAAGGAGAAAATGAGAAATGTCACGTCGATGTATACATCAGTCACTTGCTGAAATTTCATTGATATTGTAACAAATCATGGCGTCGTCTTCAGCATCATCAAATACCATTGCTTGGTTTAACGATATGAATATACAGTTGAATCGCTATTTCCCATTGCCATTTCTCGTACTCGGTACCATCGGTGTGATTTTAAATATGATAATATTTACTCGTCGAAGTCTTTTTGTCAATTCATGCACACATTATCTCTTGGGAAATACGGTGGCCAACTTACTTGTATTGTATTGGGTTGTTATTACACGAATTCTTTCCGATGGTTATAAAATTGATCCGAGTACTGCGTCGGATACATTTTGTAAAGTGAGATACTTTCTTACATATGTTCCGCGAACACTTTCAACATGGTTCATCTTATTGGCCTGTGCTGATAGATGGGCATCGAGTATAAAAGTGCAACGACGCTTTAACAGCGTATCATTCGCTCGTATGGTCATTTTAATAACCACCATCATATGCATCTTGTCATTTTCTCATGTGCCGATTTACTTTGGCGTTCACAAAACTTCTAATTCAACATCATGCTACGCACTACCAGGACCCTATCGTATCTTTTCGGATCTTCAATACCTTGTCTTTTATGCATTGGGCCCACCTCTAATTATGTTGGCTTTTGGTTTAGCTACTCTTCGCAATCTCCGACGAATTCATCGTCAAGTATTACCAAATAATGTACAATCGACGAAGGGTATTGTACGGCGCGATAGTCAGTTGTTGGCAATGCTTCTCATGCAAGTGGTCTTGATCATCGTATGCACAGTTCCATTTGCCGGTCAAAAATTATACGACACATTTACGCTAAATGTGAAAAAATCCTCCCTACAAATCGCACAAGACAATTTAAGCGCAGCAATTGTACGCATTTTAGCTTATGGTTCTCATGCATTCGGCTTTTTCATGTACACTCTATCGGCACGCATCTTTCGAATGGAATTACTCAAAACAATGAATAATGTCTATCAACGATTAATGGGTCTAAATCTTAGTACAACAATGACAGCAAATGTTGTTAGGACGCAAATATACACTGCTGAGACAATGAACATTCATTAACGCAATAGACAAACTGGATGAACGAACTATGTCTAGTTTGATGTTTTGTAACATAAGCTGCATATATTTCTTATCGGTTATACGACATTTGCGCGCAAAATAACTTTCTAATTTAAAAATCTTAGATTGAGTCCTTCAGCATCTTAGTAAATATCTTTTTATCGTCTAAAACATCTGGAACATTTTCTTTTATGCGAACAAATTCTTCAATAGCCTTTTGCGATGGAATAAAAGCTAAAGCTGCTAAATTTTTCATTGTACGACGACTAGTGTTATTTTCAAGAAGTTCTTTTTTCAAATGTAGCTCCTGCAAGAAAGAAAAAAAAGCATCAACGTAGCACAGGACAAAACCCTTTTTACTTAGTATTAAAGTAAACTTAGAAAATATAAGCAGAATATCTTTTTCTTATTCATAGCGATGAGTTTAATTGATTCGATAATACAAAAACAGCACAAAAAAATCGTTTTGCGGGTTAGAGTTGTGCGCGCAAATGTCGTGTCACGTTTCTTATCAACGATGATATAGCTCACATGAAATCTGGAATTAGTTTGCATAATGCCATCATCATTTGAAATAAATGTTTCTTCCGCACCACTTCGAATTCATGTGAACAAAGAAAGTCGGCTACTTTGAGCCTTTGCATAAAAGAAGGCCGGTCATTTTCAAGAGAAGCGTATTATACTAATGAATGAAGCAGGCCAGATAGCCGTACAGCCCAGCCTGACCTTTAGTTTTCAGTCCAAGCTTCGGGCCAACTGAAAACAACTGATCATTCAATTCCATCTTTTTAAATATCTTTTCTTTTCTAAATTTCAAAAGCTCTTATCCTAACATGGTACTGTTTTTGATGAATTCACTGATGCTGACATTTATGAGAAATATCTGTTGATTGAAATGTTATAGTGGGAAGTTATTTGACTGATGAGGAGGATAGCCAATGAAAAGGTGACTATCAATGATAGTTATAAACAACGGAATCTGTTACAGTTTGAATCCTCTATGCGCTATCATTGATACTTAGTCAAAGTATGCAAATGAAAGTAAATAATGCCTATTTTCGAAACTAGATTATAGCTTTGGAGTTGAATAAATGATTTTCACTCGTCTCTATTTGTGTCGTTTGTACTTTATATTCCTCAATGGTATATGCATACATCTGGTCGGATTCGAGATAAGAGAACCTAATAAGTGTTGGCATGTCTATAGTGGAATGAAGGCAATTATTTGGATTGATGTTTTGCAAACATTGGTCATGTATGCTGGTGTACTGATTGACACCATTCGAGGCAGGTTCATGCATCCGAAAACCTCAACTGTATTGCAATTTTAGCCAGATAAAAAAAAAGGTCAAGAAAGTTGTAATGGGATCTGTCAGTGAATGAAATCAAATGAATTCTACAATTTTGTCAATCCACTTCTTAGTATTTTCTCTTTCTTTATTGGCTTATATCTCAGCTGATTAAGGACTATATAAATTCGCAATATGTACTCTGAAATTGGATGAAAACGATTTGTTTAGGTCTTTTCTGCTAGGTTTGATTCTGGTTGGTGACTTAGATCTAGCATTTTCGGCTGCTTCTCAAGGATGTGGGTATACTAGTGTAGTTGCAGAAAAGACCTACACCCATACCCCGAAGAACTTTCTCTTGCAAACACATTGGTTAGAGTATAAACTATATACGTATATAAATTTAATGTAAATAATTTTCTTGTGATAGTCCAAGTATTGTTGAAATAGCATCAATTTATTTGTTTTTGAATTTCTTATGATAGAAAGTAAAATAGTCTATAAGCGCACAATGGTCAGAACGAAGAGCAAACATTTATTATTAGAAACAGAAAATTTTTTCTTTCATATAATGTATCACAGTGCGTGGGTTAATTTATAAAGTTCAACGTTTGTTCATGCAAAAAGAAGCGATATGTGATTACTACAGATTAGTAATTGTAAATAAAATGAGAAAAATAAGAAACAGAAATTCATACAACTGGAAAAATATCATAAAAATTGAATACTTGATTAAAGGGACTGATTGCAATAAATTGTTGCTTTGTTTTTGTAAAGCAAGAAATTCAATTCATTCAATAATCCTAATCATTGATCGATTATTTATCAGGATGGATAAAAAATGCTGACAAAGCAAAAACTAAAAATACAACAGCACCAGTCAATGTAACTGTCTTCGGTGATATCCGTTGAGCTATAAAACGACCACCAAGAACTGCTAATCCAGTACATAAACCATGGCCAATTGTACCACCAACAATAACACCTAAAAGATTTTCACTAGCAGCTAATACAATTGTAGTTATTTGAGATCGATCTCCCCATTCCTAATAAGTAAAAGAATTTAAATTTCAATATTTATTCTTTCTATACATACAGCAAGAAAAGTCATAATAAATGATTGAATATATATGGGCGATACATAACGACGAATAATCAATATAGTATTCATTATAGTACTTTTTGGTGCTATTTGTTGTTGTTGTTGATTTCCTTTTGATGAGTTATCTATTGTTCCACCATCACCTGATTCGAGATCATTAGTAGCTTCAGCTTTTTCTACTTCTTGTTGAACTTCTTCATATTCTTCTGTACCTTCATCAGGTGACATAAAATATCCATCTTTTAACATTTTAACTCCAAAGCCAGCAAATAATATACTTGATATGTAATACGTATAAATACGTGGAATAAAAGTTGTAACAACATTTCCTAACAATGCTGATAGAATTGTCATGGCACCAAGAGCACTCATTGCACCAATATATATAATTAAGCGTGAATGACGCATTGCTAAAATAGCAGCAATAAAAAATGTTTTATCGCCTAATTCTGAAACAACAATAACAGATATTGATGCAATAAATGCATGAGTAAAACCAAGATTTGCACTATTTTGATTTTTTCCTTTGATTTTATCATGCATTGGATCATTGTTATTATTAATTAAGACTTTTGTTGCATTAGATAATGTTATTTGAACTTCAGATAATCGTGCAGGTTTAAAATAACCATTGGAATAAAGATACAATGAAAGAAATAATAATGAAAAGCCAATAAAAGTGGCTAATAAAAATATACGTGGCGTAATAACCATTTCACGAAACTATTTTAATAAATAAAAATGAAATCAATTTAGATATATATTTATATAAAGTGACTAACTCAGCTATTTAACTAAAAATGAATACTAGATTCTCTGAGATGAGTTTTTCAGTCCCGAAGAACGTGCAAATATACTTTTGTTCAGCAACTAAATGAGACATCTTCGAGTTCTGTACAACAATCTAATTGAAAATCGCGAATTGAATTTTTTCTTAGAAATTAGTAGAAAAAAAACTTCAAAGTGAAGCTCGCCGGATTGATCCTGGACTCGAAGTCGTATCTCTCTTAGAAATGTGTAGGGCATGCTAGTAACAGAATATAAGTAATCGATAAAAAATATTTTGCATCTCTGAAGCAGCTATTGGACTGAGACTAACAAATGTTGTTGAAATTAGGAGAACAGTTCGAACCGAAAACTTCGAATCTGACGGGCTCTACTTCAGGAACTTCTGTAAGATTGCTATCTCTCAGCAAAAAACGGATCGTACAGAACTCGAAGACGTCTTGTTTTGTAGAAAATTCTTTGCTCTATCGTTTCATGTAATATGAACAAAATTATGTTTCCGCGTTCTTGCTAGTGAAAAATGTAGGGTTTGATTTTCTGGAAACTTCCTCTTTGACAATCGAGAGATCATTTTTGTTTTCTTATATTCCTCTTACATAAATTTTTCTTTATTGAAATCACTATTTGGATTCTTTTTAGTGAATAAAACAGTGAAAAATATTGGATCGTCTTTTCAGTATAGTCTGTGTACATAGAGAAAAATTTAGAAAGAAGAAAAATTTAAACTGGAAGGTTAGATTAGCCAAGCAAGATGTTTAGTAAAAACAACGAAACAATTCAAATGAATAATTTTGTATATTCTATACAAAGAAATGATATGAACTTACTTTGGGATAAAGTATAAAACAGTTATCACCAGGAATGCATTGTAATATCACAGATCGATAATTTCAATGAAATGAAACAGAATAATCTGAAATTAGAACGACTATGTATCGGACATGTATTTATAAATAATTTATTCGCACGTAATTTCAAAATGCAATAAGCACTGAAAAATAATTTTCAACATATTTTTCAGATGAGTGATTCAAAGAAAAGAAAAATACGTTTGGAAACGACTATCGACATAAATAATTTAATAACTAGTTTATTAATTTTAACAAATTATTGCAACCTGATATCAGGACATCAAAATATAACTAAAATATCTATGCCCAATTAACTAAAAAACAAAGAGTACAATGCATCTAAAAACTGATGAAGAAATAAGCAAGATTATTATCTCATCTTAAAAATGAAAATTCATTTTATCTTTTGCATATAAATAGCATTAACAATAATAATGTCAAAAAAGAAAAAGAGTTTAACAGTTCAAGTAAGTATCACATCATAATAATTCGCATACTTTCCTATTCTAAGTTATTTTTCATCTCAAAGAACAAAATCAGAGTGAAGGCAAAAAATTTAGAAGCGATGTATTTTTCTTTCTTAATGGTAATGCCTAGGGCAAGTCAGAGAACAGATTTGATCAGTGGAAACAATTTCCTATCAGAAGAAGTACTTTTCAAAGTTCTATTAAAAGATTTGGATAAGAAGCAAGAGAGACATGGCGTACTCCGTACTCCACTGGCACTCTTTGGGCTCCGGAGATACCGTGGGGATGCACCAAGTGCAACTCAGGGGAAAAGTCACGTACTTCGACAGTTCTCTTACTATACTCTTGTACTCCGTGTAAACTAGAGAACACGTCGTTTACCTCGTGACAAAAGATCTCTGGAAAATCAAAATCTCCAAAAATACTTTTTTGAGTTCTATCAAAAAAGTTTTGCAAAGAAATTCATTTGATAGAGAAAAGGTTTCTGAACAAGATAAAATAGCCTGGAGTTCGGCGCAACCTATATTCGACACATTGCATTCATTCTACGAAAAGTCCTAAAGTGTAAAATACATTAACGAATAAGCCGAAAGCATTTTTAGACTGATTAAGATGGTCAGTAGAAACTATAAATATTAGTTTAGAATAAAAAATTGAATGCTCTTTCTGTATTTAAGTTCGGAATTTTTATTGAACTCATATTTTTGAAGTTATGAGAGAATCTATGAAAGGTCGAAAAATAAAGTTTGAAGAATTTCAGAGCATTAAGAATTGAACTGGATAGAAGTAAAATTTATTTTAAATACATGAAAAAAACGAATAAACATTTCTCTGTGAAATAATATCTTGATGATTAGTTTTTCGTAAGGCACCTACCAACAATAAAAGTTTTGACAAGAAGCATAGTGACATTTTCATGGTTCCTTCATTTTCAGACTCACAAAAAGTCACTCGGTTATTTCTGGAAGATTACTTGAAGAACATTTGTTCTCTGAGTACGAATGTAAAAAGTTTTGAAAACATGATGCGGTCAAACGAAAGGAAATGAGATTTCAACAAAATCGACATCTCTACATCAGAAAATACTAAATCACTAAAAAATATCATGAAAAAAAATTTCAAACGAGGTATTGTACGGAGTCTGAAAACTTTATACCCAAGGCTGACTCTACTGCTGACCATTTTAATCAGTCTTCGTTGCTTGCAAAACACTTTTGATAGAACCCAGAAAACTGGTTTTCGTGTCTTGGTTTTTGAGAGATCTTCTACACGAACCAGCTAATGAAAAACTTGACAAGTATGTCTTGTGATAGGATATTGTTTTCGCTGATCAAGTATTATCTGCGACTCGTTCTGATGTTACTGTTAATGAAAAAAGTTAAAAATAAATCGTTTCTAAACTTTTTGCTTCTATATCTTAGATTAAAAGAAAAATTCATTTATGCATCATACAGTTCCGACATAATCAAAACAATCAATGATGACCATCCTGTAAACGGATGACTGCCTTTTCCATTTCCAGTTTTATCATCATATTGTTCCCAAATATGACCTGTTTGATCATAAACACGTAACATATTCTTTATAAGATTTTGACGTAATTGTTTATAAATATGTTGAGCTTTATCAGAATATGGACCAGAAATTTTTGCATAATATTGAAGAGCTGATAGAACCATATAATTCATATTTATCCATATAGCACCTAAATGATTATTTTCGAAAATTTTTATTATCACAGAAAAAAAATAAATCGATATTCATACCTCTCCAATAAGGTGGATCATGCTCAGTATTTCTCATTCCATATAAAGGACTTGATCGTGCTAATGATCGAAGACCATATGGTGTCCATAGTAAAGTTGAATTTTGTAAGCCATTTAAAATTTTTTCAAGTTTATTTGATTGTGGATTTAAAATACGTGTCATTAATGGAAAAAGAGAAACATAACCAAAATGTTTTACATATTTAAAATTAACATCGGATTGATTAAGTACTTGTCTAATCATATGTTTTTGTTGATATTGTTGTGCTGGTGATTGTTTTGGTATTAGCACACGTTCTAATTGAACATGATCTGTATGTAAGCCGTAATCAGCATACATTTCATATTCGTCAGACCAATGTAATTGATCAAGTAAATCATTATTTGAAAGTAATTTTGCATAATTAAAATATTCATTTGTTTTTTCATTATTTAATAATGAATAAAGTTTACCAATAACATTTGAAGCTAATGTCATCCAACAACGTAAATCTAAATGACGTTCAAAATCAGTTGGATGTGATGCACGTGGATAATCATCTAAACCACTTGTTAAAGTTTTTGGATTAAGTTCATATATTGATGAAGCATTTCGACCACGCCAACGAAATGTAAATGGTATTGGACCAGATTGTGTATGATTATACCATTGATACCATTTTTCTAAACGTTGAATAAATGGTAATGTAAATAGATGATTAGCTTGATTTGTTTTTAATAAATAATCAATTGTTAAAAAAAATGTTGGAGGATTTGCATTATTGGTATATTGAACAATAAATTCAGATGGAACACGAGCACGAGCTTCATCACCAAGAATTATTTCCTAGAAATGATATCTGATTGTTACGATAGTAGATTTAAAAAGAAAACAACATTCATATCAATATATCTCGCTAGATTTGTAATGTGAAATGTTGAAAAACACGGTCTTTAATCAAGTTTTCTATGAGAGACCAAAACAAAGAATAGTTCAACATCTTTCAACTAGTTTTAAAAATCAATCGGTATTATTTATCATACTGCATAGATTAGACATAGAATTGGTTGAGTATTCAATCGACAAAGATTTTAAACCTTGTTGTCTCTATTTTCCATCTGACTTTTCCCCTCCTAATCAATGATTCAAGGTTTTCAGTGGATTTAGACGATCAGTAGAAATTGAAATATATTAGAAGCACAAATAATTTCCATCCTTCGGATGTTATCTATATTCTCAAAATCGAAACTCATGATGTCACATGCAAAATTCTTTTTCTACTTTGCGTTTTCTTTTTAGTTGACCATAGAAAAGTCGACAGAAAAAATATCGAAAAGCGCTTTAGAAACTTCTGATTATTAACATATATTTTTTATTGTGTGGGATAATACACAAGTCAAGATTATTCAAATTGGAAGGAACTTTTGCTGAACATCTATTAAATGTACATTTTCAATGTTTCGAAGTTGTTGCTTTCTTTTATTCAATTTTGAAAATATAATCATCTGATAGGAGTACAAAAGATATGCGGGATCGAAATTTGATGTTAGCAGTCAAATAAATCAATACAGATTGAAAAATATATTTGAATGTTATGCAAATAAATTCTAAAATGGTTTTCTCATGACCAAAACCAAAAAACGCTTGCCCTCGCACATCTCTAAACAAGAGCAATGATCTTTCTTTTTATGAATCAATGAATGAAATAAATAAGAATGTAGGCTGACCTATAGCAGTTATTATTCATTGTTGTTAATATTGCGTACAGATAGAATAATGAGAAAAGCAATAATACGCTATAGACATCTAAAGTAAGCGTTTACTAGACACATCACTTTTTTTTTCGATACTTTCTGATCTGGACATTTTTCCTTTCTATATTATATCTTCTTTTCTGTTGAAAATATTTATTCTAGTGTTAAATTCTTACTCGAGGTATCCATCCATTATTATTAAGCATATCAAACCAATGTTTAATAATATCAATAGTAATATTTTGATTCCATCGAGCAATAAGAAGATTATGAAAACCTTCATCCCAAAGAAAACCACGTGGAAAAAATGAACGTGACGGTACAGCTGTATATAAACTTGTTGTCCAATATTGATCAGGAATTTTTTGATTTGCTTTTGCTACTAATGATTGACCTAGAAATAAATCAATAAAGAAGTTTTTGTATTTTTCGAAAATATTGAATAAAATTTACCAGTAAAATACGAAATTCCACCAATTAAATTACTTAATGTTGAACGAGCAAATTGAATTTTTGTTTCATCCATATTATGTTTGGTTTGTAATTGAAATATATTTTCAAAACGTTGATCAAATTGTTTTTGTAATCGAAGAATTTCTTCATTAAAATATGAACCAGTTAAATCTTGTTTACGTTCATTATCTGATGAATCTGATTGATAGATAACATCAAATGAAAATGTTTCATCAACTATTGGTTGTCGTAAGGTTATTTGAATAAAAAATGTATTGTGTTCCGAATCTTTAAATATTTGATCAGTCAATATAATAAATGGTTGTTTGGGAGGATTGGATGTTAATTTTGTAAGAATATCACGATGAATTCTATCTAATTGAAAGACATCTGTTAATGTACGAATAACTGGTTGATGAGATAATGTATTTAATTGAATTTTAATAGTAAATTTATCTAATTCATTTGTTTCACCACGAATAGTTATACTGTCAGGTGATTGCTTTGAAATGGATGTTAGCCTTTTTATCCATGGAAGTTCGTGGTGAAAATAGAAGAACAAAGATATTGGTATTGTTCTATCGGTGAACTAAAAGAAGAAAAATATTTAATACATACTTTTCAAGATTGTTATGAGGATTAGTCTAAGGAAACATTCTTTTGAACTGAAATTTTTAGGACATTCTACTAAGAAATAGACCTGTTTATGGGCAAGATATCAGGTTGGAACATCATCATTTTATTTGTTGGTATATACCATGTCAAAGACAATAATTCAAGTAAAATGCATATAGCTCTGGACAGAAGAACTAATGAGATGTCTCCTCTTATTCCCTCGTAAGATACACTTTGCATCCAAGTTCTATCAATGTTCAAAATTTCCTGCCAAATACGATGACCTTCCGGCATTCTTCTGACTAGAGTTGGTAAAACCCAATTTTGTAATAAAGCAATATGTTGTAAAAGGGAATCAATAAAAACAAAAACTCAATTATGCCAAATAACTATCGAGAATGAAGCATTTGAAACATGCAAGAAAATGTCACATAAATATACGTTAAATTATCGAGTGAATGCAAAATATTTCTTATAAATCTATAATCTCTGTGTTATTCATATTGAGTCTAATTTGTTTTTAATGCGGTGCGAGGTACAGAATTTATATAGCCCTTTATGAGTTTTTTTTTCTTTTCTTATTTGTTGACGTACTACTCAGAAAAAACTTGTCATTTTGTATCACGATGATGTCAAGAATGGAATATCAAGAGATACTTATTTAAATGCATGAATAAAGTTTCATGATTGAATTAAAGCCAGCGTTTTTCTGATCTTCAACACTGCGCTCTATCTTCTTACAGAATGTCACCGAGAAACACAAATTTTTGTGAACTTCGATTTTTTTTGCAAGATTTATGATTATTCAAACGATGGCACCAACAAAAGTTACTCATTACTCTCTTTGCTTATATCTAACACATGTATGAATACGGTTCATAGTGCATAATGAACCAGAGAAAGAATCAAACGATCAATCGACAGTATTTAGTAGAACCTTCGCTTGAAAAAGATAATTTCTCGATTAACTGCAACAAAAAACCTCTAAATCCAGTAAATATCTTTTTGAAAAAAAACATTTCGTAGTCAACCGTAGGAATTAGTAGCAGAACAAGATGATGGTTGGAGAGGACTCAGTTCTCCTGCCTGCTCCCCCACAAAGCCTTCTAGTCTCCTCCAGAAATCTGAGTTTCCTATACTGTAAGAGAAAAATATATGTCATTTTCGGCTTCAAACAGGGGCCGAGCCTTCCTCTAGAAATTTCTAAGTTATAGAGAAACTCTCGACAGAGCTATGATAAGTCCTTGTGGAAACGAGAATTGGCCATTAATACCCTTACACTTTCGCCATTCATAAATTCTTTGATAAATATCAATGTGGCAGAAAAAAACATTTCAAAATATTGTGTTTTCTTTTATTATAACAATCATGAAACTGAGAAAAAATTCCTATTTCTTAATCCTTGGACATTCCTCAGAAACGCTCATTCGTTTTTTATGAGATACCGATTTTTCGACCATTGACATTTGCAACTTCGCATCGGATGTCGCAATCGAGTGAAACTCAAAAACCATCTAGTTTTTTTTCTTATGCTTAACACCTCGAATTAATTTATTTAATAGTTAAACATGAACGATTCTTTTTTCCAATGAGTATTTAGAAAACTCTTCCTTTTATCAGGTAGAAAAATTCAACACGAAATTTTGATAAATAAATAAATTTTTAACAAATTTTACGCAAATAATTGTAATGTTCGGCTGTCTCATTAATCATTGTCCTGTTTTTTTTCTTTGTTTAATGTTCTTAACATGTGTCTATTAGTATTCTATTCTAAAACGATATGGCGTCAGATGTTTTCTCTTTTCATACTTTTGGAATAACATTGATACGTGTTGTCCAATCTCCTCCATGTTGTCCACTAATTTGTTTCATCCATTGAATATTTAAATTAAGATTATTATCTTTAATATCTTCAATTCCGAATGTTTCACCATCATGATATGTCCATCCATATTTTAACTGATCATTTTGATCACACCAATGTCTAATAGAAAATCTTTTCAATAATTTTTTTCTTTTTATATATTTTTTTTCTACCTAAGAAATCGATCATTGGATTTTTGTAATGTACCATAATCGAACCACATTAATCCTCCACTTAATGATTTTGCACTTCGATGTTTTAAACCAAAATATAAATTTGATCTTGAATCAAAATAACTAGTTTTTCTTTTTGTCTTTTCTTTAAATAAAATCTTTTTTTTACCTATATGTTCCCCAAAATCTCTCTGGATTTGTCTCATTGACATTAACAAGTTTAGGTAAATTAATCGGAATATTTGTATATTCGGCATAAATAATTCCTATTAAAATTTTATATAAACTAAACAAAACTACGAGAAAAATAATAACATATATTGATGTTCGTAATTGAAATTTAATTTTCGGCAATAAAGATTCCGAACGTGATGAATTACTACGAGATTGTTTTCTTTTTTTCGCAGCTGCAATAACCTTTTCATTTGATGGTTCACTATTTACATTCAATGAACGTTTATTATCAGTTTGTCGACGACGTTCAGCTGTTTTTTCACTCATCTAAAAATGCACAATTATTTGTTCTTGTTTTTATTTCAATTCCAATAAATGATATAGAATTTATTCGCACGAACCAGCGCGTTAAAAATACAATAAAACCATTCAATACATAAATAAAACTGTTTTAACAGTTAAAAAAAAACATAATCACCATAATAGAACAAATGCGAAATAGAAATGCTTTATTAAAATGTTTTACGATGAATTACTCTAGCACCTTCAGTATCATATTCACGTTTTGTTACCCATATTTTTTTAAATGTATCAAGTGATGCTAATATTGAACCACTATAGAATGAAAAAAAATTATTTAGTTTGAAGAAAAAAATATTGCTTTTAATATTTACCCAATCCATGTTGAATAAAGACGTTCACGTGGTGCGGAAATTTTTATTTTAACTTCTTTTGGTGCAATACGTTTTAATTCGGCCAGTAAACGATCACCAAAACCTTAAAAGTGTTTTTTTGTTTCAATTCGATAAGGAAAATGAACTTACCTCGAAATAACGTTGAACCACCAGATAAAACAATATTTTGATAAAGTATACGTCGTAAATCCATGTCAGACCGTTGAATTGAACCTGATAAAATTTCATGTATACCTTCACATTCCTCACCAATGAAGTCTGGATTAAACAAAACTTCAGGTGCTCGATAACGACTTGAACCAAGCTACAAAAAAAAAGACCTTGAAATTTGAATTAGACATTATTTATTTGAATACATCAATTGATGTTCCATCAGGCAGTGTAAATTGTGATTTATCAGTTTGACTCATGTCTTCTTTTTGTGCTGTTGCATTTAAAAAACATACTCGTTCTTTAATACTTTTAACAATTTCAAATTCAGCCGTTGTTTTAAATGTATAACCTTCTTTGCGTAATAATAATTTCAAATAACGAGTGACATCACGACCGGCTACATCATTTCGAAGGATACTATGTGGCATAGCAAATCCTAGAAATAAAGATTTATGTAATATTTCTTTAGAATGATTAGGTAATGTATTGCTTTTTGTTTTACACAATGGAATTTCCAATAAGATTTCGTTATATCAAACAACGCAATTAAGTATCTCACACCTTTCCTCGTATATTTTATACGAACCAAATTTAGTTAAATTACCTTCATAAATCGGGACTGCATGAGTAACTCCATCACCTGAGTCAAGCACAACACCTGTCGTTCGTCCGCTTGCATATCTAAATAATCAAATATTTTTTTCAAAATCCAAACAAAATTAAATATTCAACTAACAAACTAAGAACGGCTTGCATAGAAATAAATAAAGCTGGAACATTAAATGTTTCAAAAAAAATTTCTGCTGCTTTTTCACGATTTTTTCTTGGATTTAATGGTGCTTCTGTTAATAAAACAGGATGCTAAATAAAAAAAAACAGTAATTAACTTAATTACATTTAATTTAATTCTTCAATATACTTCTTCAGATGCTGATCTCAATTGATCTTTCGAATAAATATACGTCCAAATTTTCTCCATATCATTCCAATCTTCTATAATTCCATGTTCCATTGGATGAGCAATATTCAAGAGTCCTCGATATTCTTCAGCTTTAGGTCCAATAAATATATCACCTTCAAGACCACCAGCCATAACGCGAACATGTTTCGGTCGACCAACATAATTTGGAAAATTTATTTTCGGTATCGGATCGCCGGCAAAGCCCGCTTTGATCATTCCCGAACCATTATCAATTACAATTGGTTGATTTGCAATCAGTATATCGTCATCCATTGTTCTATATTTATTTAATTGAATTGAGATGAGTAAGAAAAAAAGACTCTCAAGTATGTAACCAATTGATTCATGATTGAAATGTGAGTTTTTCATTCGCATAAAAAAATAACCAATAGAATTAAAATAAAATTTATTTATTGCTTGTTATTATAGTTTTTAGTTTTTTACATTATTAATCAATGTCGGCTCAAATAAAACGTTTTGATGCATATGCTAAAACCTTAGATGATTTTCGTGTACGAACAACAAGTGGTGGTCTAGTTACAATACTAAGTACATTTATAATTTTAATATTATTTTATCTTGAATTACAATATTATTTAACGACTGATATTGAACAAGTTTTATTTGTCGACACAAGTCGTCAAGAAAAAATGAATATAACGATTGATATTCGATTTCCAGTTTTACCATGCAGTTATTTAACTATTGATGCTATGGATGTATCGGGAGAATCACAAACGGATATCATACATAATTTATATAAAACAAGATTAGATTTAAATGGAAACGCTCTAGCAAATGAAATTATGAAAGTATCACTTCAGCCACTAGCGAAAATAAATGGCACACAACAGAATATAACAAATGTTCCGGGATGTGAATCTTGTTATGGAGCAGAATCTGAGGAACATAAATGTTGTCCAACATGTGATGATGTGAAAGTAGCGTATAGAGCAAAAGGATGGTCATTTGATGCAAGTGAGTTTTTTTTCGTTAAAAAACGAAACTACGACAGATAAAGTGTAGAGCGAAAATTTTATATACTTCTGTTTTATAGTTTTTCAAGGCTTTTAAGAGAAACATGTCCCATCGATTGTTTTTATACGTTTTTGCACTAGACATTTCATTAGTTCTAATATTAAAATGATGAAGCCTCTAGGGTATTGAATTGCAACGCTATTTCAAAAATAAACTTTTTTTTCTACGCATTATTTAAGAAATTGGGATGTAGAAAAGAAAAGGAAAAAGCTGAGGGTAACCAAATTTGAACAATAACTCATTGTCAAAATTCATTGAGAAAGATGTCGTACTCTGTTGAGATAATGCATATTTCTTATTTTGTCTATATTCTTGATACGAAGTACGAATTCATATTTAGCTTTGATGAATACTTCTGTTAGCAATGTCTACTATTTTTGTAGTCCAATGACATCTGTACGCTGGAATCTCTATTATTGTTTATCATTCAATAGTGCAACAAAGTTTGTATAAAACTATCTTATAAAGAAGTAAACTAAGACCAAGATCGGGTAACAAAAAAGCATCATATCGTATAAGACTCAACATGACACAAATATTTAATTTATAGAGTTTTTGTGTATAAGTTGTTACCTTTAGCCATTATTTGAAAAAAAGTTATACCTTTTTTTTGTGACTTTAAAGTCGTTTTGGGATTCTTAAAGTATTCTTCATAGATAGAAGACACTTATAACCATATGTAGAGAAACAAACAAACAAAAATGAAAAACCTAAAACACTTGTCACGAGAGAAGATCCTCTGAAGTACATTTGCACTTAATACCAGTTCTAAGTATAAGCAGACTTAAGTAAAATCTGCTTAGATCCAAGTGCGAAGTGCAATTGTTACGTAAAAAGTATTATAATAAATTAATTAAAATGAATTGATCTTATTTTCAAAAAATTAATCATGTTTTTTGTTCTATCAAAATTCTCAATACTTCATACAAGTCTCGAAAGTATAGTAAAGAATTCTACTGGCATAACAAATATATTTTTTTTAGTCATTCTAGAAGAACCATCCATAAAACAACCATTGAAATAGAATATTGATGTCTCTGAGATATAGACAGACTGATCAGGCGCTTTCTTGTTTAGTTGCTTAAGTGACCATTCAGGACGAAAATGACTTGACGAGATTTTATCAAAGATCTTCCATAAATATGATGTCATTCAACGAAACAGCATCGTAGAAACTTCAAGAACGTCTTAATTTGTAGGGAATAGTTTGCTCTACCATTTCGTACGACGTGAGCAAATCTCATGTCCAAATTGGCAGTGCTGAAAAACTAAAAGTTTGGTTTTCTGCAAAATCCATAGTCACCATTCATGTCCTGTCGTCTCTTTTCTTCCTAACTTTTTCTGAAATTTTCAAATGATGTAGATGCCAGTAGTAGACATTGTCATTGATATATATCACGCAATACATGCCCATCATGTATATATCTTAATTGTTGATAGAAAAGCATTTTATTTTAAAAAATCCATCTTCTGCAGTTTTTTTCGAACTTATCGATTTTGTAACTTATTTTAATTTCAATGATAAAACAATATAAAATAAAATTTTTTCTTATCCATTGATAATTTGGGGAGTCTACTACAAGATATGTTTCCAGAATTTTTTTAATTCCATTCTTCCTTTATTTTCTGCAATTATGCTATAAATGGTCATTTCAGTAACAAAAGGAGGGTAAAGGATTAACATGATTAGAACGTAGTGAAAAATATATGTTAGATAAGGTATAATACCCATTAATCAAGCCAAAGTCGCCATCAGTCAGTGGCTAGGTTGCTCAAAACACATCTACAAGATACTATGTTCAAACTTTGGTACCTTCAACCATGAAATGACTTTAGACTAGTCACTCGCGCCTGCTTGTCTCAAACTATCCGTTCGATAGCATGTTGAGTATGTTAGAACATACACATATTCTTGCGGTTAGTTAGTGTCTATGGAAAGCACAAGAACACTATATTAAGCTGATATTTTGTTCACAGGTAGTTGTAGGGAAGACATCGGTCTATTGAATCTGTCACTAGACAGCACCCACACACTCAAGACAGGAGTATTCTTCTTCAATGAAACCAATGAATCCATTAATATATCAACTTAGTGATCTTTGTTTTAATCTTTTCTTGAAATTCTTTAAAATTTCTTCTAATTTTAAGCTGTTGTACAACAATGTGTTCGTGAAGGTCAAGCAATTGGTATGCTTAGTGCAAATTCTCCTGATAATTTAACTCAAATGAATGAAGGTTGTCGTGTTCACGGTTATTTAGAAGTTAATAAAGTTGCTGGAAATTTTCATATAGCACCTGGTCAATCATTTCAACAACATCATGTTCATGTTCATTCATTACGAAATATACGTTTAAATCTATTAAATACAACACATTATATAGATGATTTATCATTTGGTGAATATTTTCCTAATCAAATAAATCCATTATCAAATTCAAAACAAATAGCAAATACTGGTGCAGTTCTTTTTCATTATTATGTTAAAATAGTTCCATCAACATATGTTTTTTTAAATAAAACTCAATTAAGCACAAATCAATATTCTGTTACAAAGCATCAAAAAGTTATTCAAAATATCTTAGATAGTAATAGTCATCAATTACCTGGAACATTTTTTACATATGAAATTAGCGCGATTATGGTTAAATTTGTTGAACGACAACGATCATTAGCTCATTTTGTAACGTCGTCATGTGCTATTATTGTAAAAAATTCTTTATTTTTGTTTTCTTTTTTAAATATTTGAAGAATGTTTATTTTTGTTTCATTTTAGGGTGGTGTTTTTACAGTATCAAGTATTATTGATGCATTTTTATATCGTGGTAGTTGTCTTCTTCGTAAAAAAATGGAAATAGGCAAAGCAACGTGATTTAATTTTAGTATTTTCCGAGATTATTGATAGTGATAATTTATATTTTACCGTTCTTTCTCTTCTGTGATCAATAGACTTCTTATGAATTAACTGTTTGTTTTTGCTTTTACAAAAAATAATTTATAGAAATTAAATTTACTAGAATCTCAATCTCAAATAGGTCAGAAATATGCACTGCCAACAGCTTAATCATATCAGCTCTTAAACTATGTTGGTAGGAATTTAACCAAAAGAAAAAGAATGTATATCAAACAATAAAACGCTAAGAGAAGGGATTTAATCATTGTAACACACGCACTCTTTATGAGACATCATTAGTTTCAGCACTTCATTTTGATATTCATTTGTTAATTTGATAAATTAGATTGTAATCAATGTTGATAAAAATTTATCTTGACAATTAATCGACTTAACAAAAGACTTCGTGAACTTAATTGTGACGATCACAATGTGTTTATTTACTTTCAATTTAAACTTGAACAAAGGTGCCTATAAGAGTTTAACTACAGAACGGAATATATGCAGGATTCTTGAGAAAGATTTCTTCTATCTAATAGTGTATGTATTTATCGTCACCTTTTTAACTACAAAATAAGTTCAAATAGGAATGAGCATTTCACATGGCAAGAATATATCTGTTATATCTTGCATTATTAAATGTTCTTTTGTGTCATTTTCAATTTGATACTATTGTTCATGCGTAAGTCTTCAGATATGAGAGACTATTTAGAAGAAATATTGTAACTAGAAAACTGCGAAATCAAACTTTTCGATTTCGAGAAACTCCAAAAATATTTTTGTTCGCTAACATATGCCTTTTTTTTGCTGTACTTATTAATGAAAATGTCTCTAATGCTTCTTGTGGAAACTATGAATCGATAAAATAGTGTATTTTATGTTCATTACTCAACATTTGAAGCATAAACTTGTTACTATGTAAGAGTAAGAAGACTTGACTGTTTTACTGACACGTAAATTCGACATTGACTTCGACTTCATCGGAAGTCGGTTTTCTGAGTCCGACACAGGGCTCCGATTATACTTCAACAAATATGTGAAACAAATAAATGAAAAAATTCTCCGCTTAAGATTAAACACAACCGCGTCGCATCGTTCCTGCGGCATTTTTCAGGCGCAGCACATGTCTCTAAAATGGATATCAATTCATGGCACAAATTATGTGATACACTCGCTTTGACTTCTATTTTTCCACCACAGGTCGTCTCTTGTCAAATGTTTCGCATTGTCTCTGAATAGAAAGACCATTTCTCATAAAATATTTCATGCACTCAATTCCAAATCAATCGTTCTATTACAATGTTTGAAATTTTATTTTCTCTTAAAAATTAAAAGGCGAAATTCATTTTCGGTAGTCGTAAATTAAAAATTTTCATTAGTTTTAAATGTTGATATGACTATTTTTCAGGTCATTGGTTCCAAGCGACCTCTATATTTTCTCTCTCTCTCTCTCTCTCTCTCTCTCAATTGGTTCTTCTATCGAACTTCTATGTGTACATATTTGCATATCCATACTTTCCCATGTCTAATCATTCTCTGTTTACAATAATAAGTCTTGATACATTCCTTTAACTACAATTTAATTTATTTCGACAATCATGCCGGCTTCACCAAGTGGTACTTCTGTATGGATCTTTGTTTTGTAGAAAATTCTTTATATTTTTCTTGATGAATTTTCAGGTTGGTAAAGGTGATTCAGGTAAAGTAGCTGGGCCACGATCAACTGGTGGTGGTGCTGGTGTTCGTCAACGTAAATCAACAGCACCTGCACGTAGTCGACCAGGTACTGGTGGTGGTGCAAGTGCAGGTGTTTGGCGTTTTTATACAGAAGATTCTCCAGGTCTTAAAGTTGGTCCTGTACCTGTACTTGTTATGAGTTTAATTTTCATTGCAAGCGTATTCATGTTACATATATGGGGAAAATATACAAAATAGAACATGATTTTTAAAAAATTAATTTGTTTATTATTGTTAGCGTGTGTTGTGTCTAAAAAAATTTATGTGTGATGGTTACAATGGAAATTCTAAATTTGTTCGAACGATATTTTCCTTCTAATGTTGACTAAATGAATTTAGAATTGAATTAAAAGTAAATTCATTAAATCGAAGGTAGTTAATTTGAGTATAAACAAATAAAGTTTTCTTTTTTTATTTCACTAAGTATTGTTTAAATCAAATACGTTACATAACTTATTGACCCATATTTCTTAAGAAAACTGTAGTGTAGAATGACATCTAATGAAACAAAATTAATTCATGAATATTGTCTTGTACAATGTTTTCCCTTATAATAATATGTTAGCTTGCTTCAACCATTGTAGTTTATATGAAATCAACTAAATGCTTTTTTTAGCTGCCATGTTTCCGAATTAACTACAGTGACAAGCTAATTCATGCATAATTGATATAAATGATAGTTCTGTGAAATGAAAAAAAATCCTGTTCATACTCTAACGACTTAAGTAATTTATTTCTATTCTAATTCTTATTTCTGCTGAATGCCAATTTTGACTGTAACATATGTAGGGTAATGGAAAAAATATTTAATAACAACGCACTTTTTCCCATAATGTTAAGCACCTAGCTCGAATCTAGATAGTGGTTTTAATAAATACTGAAGTTTTCTTTGATCAAAATTTCATAGATGAACTTTGATAGTAAGATTTCTAAAAATCTGGTTACACTAGTTTACTCAAAATCAGCTTTTTCAGCTCCTAGACTTCAGTATGAATTACACAGAATAATAGAACAAGCAGTTTTCTTCCAGATGAAACATCTTCCAACTTTCTATGACATTTTTTGACCTAGATATATCAATTATACAGAATGCGCAAAAATGATATTCCTTACAAACTAAAAGGAAAAAAGTACTTTTGTGTTTTCTGTATGGCTTACATGACGAAGGTAAAGAACATCGTAGAAAACGTGAAGACAATTAATTTTTTTTAGAGAGTTGTTTTTCTATCATTCTGTGTAATTTAAATAAAAGTCTAAGAGATGAAACGCCAGGGTTTCAGATTTTTCAAAAACATTTATCCTTGCAATACTCAGAAGAATTTTCATATTCTAAAATTCTTGTTGAAAAAAATAGACCTGGTCGGATTGCTTTGGGATTCACTGTATCTATATCTTATTTTTAGATGAGAGAAAAAAAGATTCATTATAAAGATATAAATGTATTTATAACATGTTCACTCTGTAACGGATACTTAATTGATGCTGCGACAATACCAGAATGTTTACATACTTGTATGTTTTTAATTGTATTTATTATTAAAATAATTTCAATTTTTTTGTTTTTTCAAGTTTGTAAAACATGTATAGCAGCATATTTGGATAATGATGAAGAAGATAATACACGATGTAAGAAATTTTTAATGAAAATTTTATTTTACGTTTTTTTTTTGTGTTAAGGTCCTAAATGTGATTCAGTTATTGATCATGTTAATCCATGGCGTGTATTAGTATTTGATCGTACATTACAATCAATTGCTTATAAATTAGTACCACATCTGTACAAAGGTTAGAAAAGAAAAGAAAATATAAAATTTATTGTCTTTGTTTGTTGTTTAGAAGAAATTGAACGACAAATAGCTTATTATAAAGAACGAGATTTACCATATCCTCCATCATTAGTTGGTAAAGAGAATTCTTTTTTTTTGCTACGAGGGAACTACATGAAGTGATGTCTCCGGTGGTTTCTTCATTAGAAAACTAAGTGATAAAAACCAAATTTGTGTTATTTTTTTTTTTTTTTTTCAAAGAAAAATTACAAGAAAAACGTGATGAAGAAGAACAACAAATAATTCCATCAAATTCTGATTTACATATTTATGATGATCAAGTAGCTATTTGTATTGATGCAAAAACAAAAGATCTTCAAGTAATTATTTGAAATAAATAAATCAAATCAAATTTTTTTCCTTCTCGACTTTGTAGTCACTTTCACGAAAATTTATTATCTGTTCAAGTAATGCAACTGTAACACATTTAAAAAAATTATTGGCCAAAATGATCTTTCAAGATCCATGTCAATATAGAAAAGTATTTTTTTTAATTTAATTTTATTGTTTTTATATCTGTATTTATTCCATTTCCTGTTCCAATTGTATCCATTTCAACTATTTCAAAACCACGTGCACGAATAGGAGTAGGAGTTTGTTGAATTGTCCCCACATACAGTTGAGCTTCGACTGGTTCACTAGATTTTTTTTTATACAATCGTTCTGGTTGATGTTTTTCGTATTGTTCACTAATTGGTACTTTACCGGTACGACCACAAGGAAAACATTTAAATAGAAGTGAAGTCATTGAAACAGTATTTAAATCTACAAGAGAAAAATAGGCTATTTTTAATGCTTATATCATGAGTAAGCATTACGATAATAATCCTTTTGTAAAGAAAGAAAAAAATGCTTTTGTATATTAATAATAGACAGAAATATGCAAAGAATCAGTTATAATATTTAATGAAGTACTAATAAAATAATGAATATGTATTTAGCGAAAGAAAATAGTAATATATGATGAGGCTGCAGAGAAAGACGTGACAATAATGTGGTAAAGTACGTTATCGTTATTCCTTTTTTTTGTGCTATTTGTTCTTTTCTATGTAACTTTCTTTCTTCTGTTTCTCCATCACAACGGAGAATCAATGATATAGTAAAACAGAAAAGAAAAAAAACGACGACGATGCCACGTATGACTAATAAAATCTTTTTTTCTTTCATTGAATAGATTGACATCTATCTCGATGATCAGATTTTGGGCAAAGACCATACAATGCGTTTTATCTCATTAACCAAATGGCGTCATAAAGTAACTTTATTTATTTCAATATTATAAAATTTCTGTTAATCACTTTTATTTTAGATGCCACCCATTTGTTTAACTTATGATATAGCATCGGATTAAGTTTTGTTTTTCTAAATAATTTCGTTTTTCTTTTTGTTTTTTTTTTGAATGTATAATGATGTCTTTTTGTATAGAATAAATAAAGAAAAAAAATACAAATTTATGCTCCAACATCAATTAAAAATACATCTTGTTTATTATGAAGTTTATCAGCAAGCATTTGACGGCTATGATCACGTTCAACTTTACGACTGATTACTGAACGACATTCGATTTTCCATTGTCCTTCTTCATCTTGTAATGATGGATTGGCTCGTACAATACTTTTAACTGTTTGTAAATTTGATGTTTGAGCCTCATGTATTTTAGTAAAAGCACCAACTAAATGATGAAAACGTTTATCATCAGCTGCACTTTTAGGTTTTTCTTGAATGATAGGCTGTACTTCTTGTGATGTGAAGTCTGATTCATGCTCAATTTTACCAAAAATATCTTCTGGTGTTGTTGTTTCTTCAATTATATTTGAACGAACATGATTATTATTATTATTAACTGTTGGTTTAGAACGATAACATTTTGGTTGAGCTAAACGATTAAGTGTTTCGCGTGACATTTGTGGCCGAATTGAAGTTCGTTGATTAGTAGGTGTTGCAGAATTTATAACAGGTGTTATATCAGGTAGAGGTGTGATTGATTCAGCTCTCATCGGTTGAGCAGTTCTAACTTGTCGAAATAAAGGTTGTTGTCTGCGATTAAATGTTGGATCAGATTTTGTTTCCGAACGAGAAAAAAATGATTGAGCTGATGGACATATTAATGGATTGCCAGTTTTTCTAGTTGATTGTATTCGAGATGGTGTATTTCTATTCATACCCATTGTTATTTGATCCAAACGTCTTAATGAATAAATTTAGTTATAGAAAAAAAATCAAAACTAACATACGGACGAAAACCCGGCATTGATTCTGATTTATTGCGTTGATTTTTAAGAAATAATTTTTTATCAAAATCATATTGTGACATTTTTCGATAACGTGCATATGATAATGTTAATAAATTCGAAAAAAATTGTCGACTTAATACAATATTTTGTCTGGTATCATTTGTTAATAAACGTGAATTAGCCGTTATTTTTCTTAATGTCAAATCTTTGTCCATCCAAGTAGATACTTCTAATGGTATTGGCCGTCGTTTAGAATTCATATTGTTAAGCAATGAATACGTTTAAAAGAATTTTTTAAAAATGAATTAAGTATAAAAACTACTTATGTGTTTATATGTACATTAGAAAAGAGTGAGAAAAAGAGAAAGAAGAAAAAAAAATGAGAAAAAAAGATCGTGCTTATGTTATTTTTACTAATTATAGGTCAAGTATCATGCCAACAACAGCATTGTCAGCTATGCTGTTACTCTTAGATGTTGCAAACACTTCTTGCAAGAGAAAAATAAGAAAGTTTTTTTTTCAAAAAAAAAATAAATATGAACAATTTTTCAATACTTATTGTATTTCAATGGTGAAGATTTTTTCGCTCTTACGAAAGGGATAATATCTTCTGTACTTATAATCAATTAAATACTTTAATCAGGATGACATCGTTCGAGAAACATCTTTCAATAGTTAAAGAAGAGTAATTTCGTCCAAAAAAAGAAGAGCGTTTAAATTGTTTTTTATTTGCCGATTATTTTAGTTGCTATGAGATATTACAATACAAACAATCTTATTCGGTTGGACACGATCATGTTGCAGAAACAATAATATTTTCAACTTGAACATCAGTATTTTTTTTTTTCTTGTTTTTTTTTTGGGGCTCGTTACTATTGACTAATATCAACAACATCGATCGGTTTTAGTCATGTCAAAACATCAACATTTTATAAGTTTCACTTATTTTGCGAATATATCAAACGTAATAATATCTATTTCTTATCATGCTCAAAAATCGTATTAGAAAAAAATACATGTCAAAAAGCATCAATCAAACTTGAATTTAAGTCGTCATACTAGTAGCAAATGGCTTATCAGTTGTTGATGAAATGAGTTTTCATAACACATATATTGAAGCCATAAAGAGTGGAATTATCAGTACCGATAAGCATCATACAGAAGCTTTTTATAAAATATAAAAATTAGTTAGTATCATATTTTCATCTGATAATGAGCTTCCGATTTCAACTCATGTGTGTTGACTATACTAATTGGAATAAGCTCATCATTAAAGAAGATAATATTAAATCTGAAGTAGCATGAACTCATCGAAAGAAAAACAAACGTTTGAATGCTTTTTGAACTTACATCTGGCTTTGTAGCATTACTCTGTGAGAATATACAAGATACTGATTTTTTTGGAGAGACATCTTTAGTATTCTAACAAACTGTGTGAGATTACTTTAGATTATAAAACAAAGCTTCCTCTGAAAAGAACGATTAAGCAAAAAAATACGCATTTTTTTCGTTTTTTACAGTATAAACAATGTCTTCTCATTACTATTAATAGCATTTCACATACGTCAAGGTATTTACGAGCATAAAAAACTGTTAGCAAACTCTCAGTAAAAATAAAATTTGAGACAAGATGAAGTTGCTGCTATTATATAAGAGGGAAAGCAGCGACATATATTTCGGTTAACGAATTACCACCTACTGCTAGCTAATGCCTGCTGATGAAAACAAGGTGGTAATCTAAATATATTTCGATCAATATGAAAAAGGACAAAGAACAACTATTATAGAAGTCAGTCGTGTTTCATACTATTGCTACATTAGGTTATTTTCTATGGGAATATTCTGTCACAGATGAAGGAGGGCAGAATAAACAGTCAAGTGACGAAATCTTTTTTTTTTAGCTTGAACTCTAATTTTCTCAGTAGAATAACATATAATCAAGTTGAATAGTATCTTATATGATAGGGCATAAACGGTACTACAAAATGAATAATTACTTTCTATTAAAAAAATCTCTGTTAAAAGATGTTTTATCACAAACATAGAAATTGTTTTTTTATTGATTGGCTTCTGTTGTGCATCTCCAGGGGGTGTCGAATTTTTACCATGACACTTCAATACTCTTATTAAATTGTGTTTCAAGAAAAGATCAGTCACCTGCGAAAATTTCTCAAAAAAAAAAACAATGGCGTCTCAACTTATTTTATCGTTTTGACGAAAATGAAAAACGAAGTAAGATCTCAGTGATGATATTTGCATTAACATACAAGGTATTTTTCATAGGATAGGTGAATGTTTTCAAAAAGATCTTGGTTTGTCGAAAAATATAGAACAACTACGAAACCAACTAAACATCATTGATAACATTACTACGACTCCAAGTTGAACTATGTAAACATAATGAGTAAAACCACAAATTATCTTCGATATTGATATTAGAGAACTAGTAGTTGGACATGGAGTTAATTAAGATATTCTATTGGTCGAGAATATCTCGGAGACCTTATTTGTTTATAAATATTACTTAAAATCGAATTGACGTTGATTTATTTGCAAAAAAACAAAACAAACATAAGACGAATGCATACATTTTTGAAGAGAATTCTTCAGCACATAGTTTGATATATTGATCTTCGAGTATACATATTTACTATTTGGAATTGTTAGTTACTGAAAAATTATTATTTATTAAAATCATGACATGGTTAATAAATTGCAAAAGATCAATCAAATATTAAAATGATCTATTCTACAAAACAATGAACAAGTTAGATGAGTAAATCTAAAATATGCATGATTAATTGGTTTTTTTTATATTAGTTCTTTCTTTCATATCTCATAAAAGATTAAAAAGCAATACATTGTATTTAGTTGAATTTAATTAAATATCTGCAAAGTAGATTACAAGTACATATATATATACAGTCGCTCTCAAAATTATTCGACAAGGTTTATTTTTGATTTTGTTTCCTACTATTTTAAACATTAATAAGAATCTGAATAACGACTTGAGTAGAGAATTTTATTTCCAATTAACATTTTTGAAAATGAAGGTAATTGCTAATTTTATAAGGATTAAGTCTCTAAAAAACTTGGTTCGGGGTTTTTCAAAGAACTAATTCTTATAAAACTAGCAATCATCTTCATCTTCAAAATTATTTATTGGAAATAAAATTAAAAATAAGCGTAACTGTATAATTTTCAAAGTCACTGTATATATATAAAAACAAACATATTTGAAGATAGTTTGTGTGCATATAAGACTCTGATAAGTATCTTTGACATCATAAACGAACATGATCAAATCATTCATCGGCATGTCAACTGTTCATAGTGATAAAACTTATTAGTTAACTATATGGCCATTAGAAGAAAGGAAGAATATTCGTGACTTTCAGCTACTTTGCAGTATGGAATACTACCTAGTGGCAGATTCAATATCCCGATATCTTCCCTACAGCTATGACTAGCTGCAGCTTGCATCCAACTGCTTGAGCTTCCATACATACTAATTAGTTATAAGGGTAGGTGTATGTCATAACGTAGTCAGCATGCAGTTAGACGGATAATCCGAGATAAATAGCTATTAGTAACTTTTCCAAAGTCATTCCACGGCTGATGATACTAGGGTTTACACACAGTACCTTATGGATGTGCCTCGAACAACAAAACCAATTAACCATAGTAACCATATGGTCATTAGTTACAAGTAGGAACCAACATGAATTAACGACATAATCTTATCTACATAGCAATATCATTCAATCGTGTTGTTTTCTCATTAGCTATTTATTTCTTAGAAGATGAACTATGCAGAGATCTTAATAACTACTCAACTACACAGCGAATAGGATTGTTATTCATATTTCATGCCTATATATTTAGTATCAATTGCGTACATACTAAGTTATACGGGAAAATATGCCAACAGTTATCTTTGATGATATGTGTTAAGTACTCAAACACTTTTATCAAGCTATCTTTTATCTTTTCAATCTTAATTTGATACTTAAAAGAAAAGAACATATAACGAACAGAACCAGTCAAGACAATGGATAAAAGAATGCCGAAAAAGATAAAAACGTGATAGAATTGATATATGTCTAATGAATCGCTTTCTAAAATGTTGTTTTTAGATTTTAATAAAATCCAATTCATGTTCTTATATTCATCGTAAAGAAAAATACAAAAATCAACTTGTTCTCACAGTTTTTTTTTAATAAAATAATTCGATTAACTTGATAATTGTATGAGAGCGACATCTATAAAGACTCCAAATAATTAAACACAAATCTTATTAAAATCTTATATTTTTAATTAATTTTAAAAAAATATTTTTTCTTCCATTAAAATTCTTTCGTAATAATAAAACTACAATAATTCATTCGGTATAAATAAGTTCGTATAATCAATTTTAAAATTACCCTTCTCGAAGAATAAATAACACTAAGAACAAGAGTTGATTTCATACAGTAACAGAAAACAAAATATTCACGTGTTATCTTTTCTAATGATGTCGGATCTTTCGAATACACTTCGTAATATGAAGTTCATGCAACGAACTTCCGAATCTCGAAAGAAATCTCTTAAAAAACCATCAACAACTACTCAAACGATTTCTATTCTTCCATCAAATCCTATAATTCCGACACCTGATCATCCAGGTTGTTGGCGTATAATTAAAAATGAAATAACCATACCCTCTCAAATCCCAACAGTAAATCAAAATCAACCATCAATAAACTATCGTAATAGTGTTTTTTCAATACATGATCGTAATTACACAAGATTATCATTTCAAAATTATAACAAACGTATAGAATCATTAATGATTAAATATGGTCTTAAACAAGAAATAAATAATTTAGAAGATGGTGAAATAGATGCAAGCGATAATGATGAAAATGAAAAAAAATCTATAAATGAAGATATTGAAACAAAACATGTTACAACTTTAGTAAAAACAATAAGAAAAAAATTTAATAAAAAACCTTTTTCTCGTATACAATTTGATAATAATAATAAAACACGTATTACTAAACGACGACGAAGAACACATAATAGAACATCAACAAATTAATTATATGTTTATAAAAATTTCTTTTTGTTTTCTTTTTTTTTTTGTAGATGATGACAACGTCTATGGTTAATCTTGTACAAACAAAACATAATGATAGTACAGATGAATTAACAAAAATGCTTGAATCTTTACCATCTTATGAAAATTCACAAGATAATCAAGATGAATCAGCAATTTTTGAAGATGATATTGAACCATCCACTGGTCTAATTAATTTAATACGAAGAAACTCGATGCAGTTATCGTCATCAGAAACAACAAATGATTTATCAAATACTGTAAGAATTATTCTCAAATAATTTTTTTTTGTTTTTTGAGATAACATTCTTATTTTTTCTCAGTGGTATATAGATAGTAGCTGATGATTCAACAAGTTATTATTCCGTTGATGATGATACAACAGCAAGTGGAACAAATTCAACACCTATTGTAGCAAGTACAAATGTCGAAGAAGAAATTCATCCTGATGATGATGATGATGATGATGCACATATGAGTTTATTAAGAAATAAATTAAAACATCTTTTTATTTTAAGTGAAAATGGTAAACCTGTTTTTACGAGGTAAATTTTTGAAGTTTCTATTGTCATAATTAATTTTCTACAAAAAAAAAATTTAGATATGGTAATGAAGAACATTTTGTAACTTTAATGAGTGTTATGCAAACACTCGTTTCACTTGCTGAATTAACTGATTCAAGTCAATTAAATTATATAAAAGCTGGTCGTTGTCGTATAGCATTTTTACACAAAGAACCTTTAATATTTGTCTTAATCTCTCATACAAATGAACATCCACTATGTTTAACTCAACAATTAACATATGCATATCATCAAATAATAAGTACATTAACATTAAGTCGTATTAAACAAAAATTTTTAGTTCAACCAAGTTTTGATTTACGTCGTTGGTTATCAAATGCAGAAAACAAACTTTTACACAATATAATTGATATGTATGAACATGATTTAGGAATGATTATGACTTGTGCTAGATGTTTAATATTACCACCGAGTATACGAAATCAGATCGGACAAGTAGTTGCACAAACAATCCGTGGTCAAAGAGTACGTTTTCAAATTTTCGTTTAATTAATTAATAAAATATTCCTTTTTTTTTTCTCCTTGGAGGATATGATATTTGCTATAATTCTCGCTCATAATCAACTTGTATCAATAGCCCGTTTAAAAAATTATCATTTACATCCATCTGATCTTTATTTACTTATTAATCTTGTTAATAGTACGGATGCATTCAAAGGTGTAGAATCTTGGGTACCTGTTTGTTTACCAAGATTTGATTCAGGGTATGAATTAAAATTTGAAGTGTTTCTTTTCTTTTTTCTTATTAAGATTATTTTAGCGGTTGTCTTCATGCACATATATCATATTTAGATGAAAGTTGTGATATATGTCTTGTTTTAATGACTGTTAATCCTGAACATTTTCAAATATTATCAGATTTTAAACAACGTATAGGAGAGGTTAAATTAATTTTTTATTTGTAAATGTTTTTAATTTTTAAATTTTAGAAATTAAAAAAAGCTAATGCAATGGCACAAATAAAAATTGCATTAGGAAAAGAACGTCTTCTATCTGATGAAATAGCTTGTAATGAATTAAGATATTTTGCATATAAATCACGTGGTTTAAGTCAATATACATCATCAAAATTATTAGCACCTTATACAACAAATGAACAACATGTTAGATTATTTGAATTAATACGTTATGTATATGGACGTTTACATGATCCAAATCATCAATTAAAAATTGTCTATTATACTGGAGAACATGAAGCATTACTTGGATGGGTTAGTGAAGACGAAACTTTCTTTCTTGTTGTTAATATTATCATTTTCTCTCAATTTTTAGTTAGCACCAGGTTTTGAAATGCATGCAGTATTTTCACCATTGGTTACATTAGAAACAGTTACATTATGTATTGATCGTATATTAACTTATATTAAACGTGAAGAAAATCAATTATTCATAATGAGATGCGAATATTTTTAATAATATGAACCATAATTCTGGGGGTCAGATGGTTCTTCTCTTTATTCAAAATGTTCTTCTGTTTCTTTTTTGGTTCCTACTTTACACTTTAACTTATTTATTGCCTTTCGTTTTTTTTCTCTTTGTATTGCATAAAACGTGTTTATTTATATTTTTGAGTCAGTGAATATTTATTTGAAAAATTTTTAGATGGTCATCCTTGCTGCGACACAAACAAAACAAGTTCGATCAAGGCAATCATCCAGTAGTGATGATTCCGATGATGATATACCAGTGAAGAAAGGAGGTAATAGACTTTTTCGTATAAAGAAAATAATATATAAGCAAAATGTTAAATACTAGTTTCGACTCAAATTCAAAAGAAGGCAGCAATACCTCCACCAAAGGCATTGTTATCAAATGGAAATAATAAAAAGAAAGATTCATCAGATTCAAGTGATGATGATGATGAGAAAAAACCATCGGTAAATTCGAAAATAAAACAACCAGTTAAAATTGATCTGAAACGTAAAGCAGCTTCATCAACTAGTTCAAGTTCAGATTCCGATGATGTTGCACCACCAGTTAATAAAAAACAAACACCATCTACATCTATTAAAAGTAACTTATTCTTTTGTACCGCTCTCCTACTTTATATGTTTTATTTAAAGCTAATGGCGTTCCGGTCGTCAAAAAAACTATTGTACCACCATCAACAAATCTTTCAAATAACAAGAAAAAGAATTCTTCATCAGATTCTGATTCATCAGATGATGATGATGAAACAACAAAAAAGAAACCAGTTCCATCAAAGGGTAACTACTTTTCATTTTTAAAACATTCACCTTATTATTTCATTCTAGTGATACAAAAAGCTGCTATTCCACCACCAGCTAGTCTTTTGCATAACAAGAAAAAAGACTCTTCATCAGATTCCGACTCATCAGATGATGATAAACAAAAGAAAACACCAGTAAAAGCAATAACAACCGCTAAACCAGCTCAACAACCAGTTAAAAAACCAGTTTCATCAAGTAGTAGTGACTCAGATGCTGATGATAAACCAGCCGCCAACAAACCAACCGTATCGAAAGGTACATCTCTCTTTCATTCATATCTGACCTAGTTCTATTCATTCATTCTTTACAGCTACACCAACTGTGACAAAAGCTGCAGTACCACCATCAGCTACTGTTTCAAATAAGAAGAAAAAAGAATCTTCATCTGATTCAGACTCATCAGATGATGATGATAAACCATCAAACAAGACACCAGTTCCATCAAAGGGTAACTATTTTTCATTTCTAAAGCATTGAATTTATTATTTTATTCCAGTGATGCCAAAAGCTGCTGTTCCACCACCAGCTTCTGTTTCAAATAATAAGAAAAAAGATTCTTCATCAGATTCTGATTCATCTGATGATGACAAACAAAAAAAGGCACCAATAAAAGCACAAACAACTGCTAAACCAGTGCAACCACTAGTTAAAAAACCAGCTTCATCAAGTAGTAGTGATTCTGATGATGATGATGATGATAAACCATTAAACAAGACACCAGTTCCATCAAAGGGTAAATATTTTTAATGTTGAAAACATTGAAATCATGATTTCATTCTAGTGATGCAAAAAGCTTCTATTCCACCACCTGCTAGTGTTTTGAATAAGAAGAAGAAAGACTCATCATCTGATTCAGATTCGTCCGATGAGAATACAAAGAAAAAGGCACCAGTAAAAACACCAACAATTGCTAAACCAGCTCAACAACCTGTTAAAAAACCAGCTTCATCAAGTAGTAGTGATTCAGATGATGATAATGATAAACCAGCAAACAAGAAACCAGTTACACCAGTTGCTAAAAGTTCAGTTATAACACCTACGAAAAAGAAAGATAGTTCATCTGATTCATCAACTGATGAAGACAAGAAAAAAAAGTCAGCTACTTTAGCAGCTAAACCATTATCAACGTCTACTCCAGTTCAACAACCAATTAAAAGACCTATTCCGTCAAGCAGTAGTAGTGATTCAGATGATGATACATCAGCTAAAAAGCCAGCTGCATCAAAAGGTAAAGTGTTTCGGTTTGAAAATACATATAACTGATCACCTATGTTGTTCTAGTTGGTGTAACACCAGTAGCTAAAAATCGTGTTGTATCAACACAAGCTGTTACATCAGTGAACAAGAAGAAAGGCTCATCATCTGATTCAGATTCATCAGATGACAACAAAAAAGAATCTCAAGTTGCAGCAGTTGCTAAGAAAATTAATCCAGTTTCGTCGACGGTGAAAAAAGTTAGCAGTTCCAGTAGTAGTGATTCAGAAGAAGAGAAATCTGTTACAAAGAAATCACCAATGAAAAGTAAGTATCACAGATTTGAAAATAAATTTTTTCGTTTTTAACGACACGTTTTTTATAGCACCTATAACTCCAACAGTTAAACCAGCACCAATTGTATTGAACAAAAATGAGAAGAAAGCAAAATCTTCATCAGATTCAGATTCATCAGACGAGAATGATAAAAAATCATCGGGAACACTTGCCAATAGACCGAAAATAACTCCTACTTTATCAAAGAAACAAACAGCATCAAGCAGTAGTAGTGATTCAGATGATGATGAAAAAGAAACAAAAGCACTACAAAAAAGTATTCTTCTATCTGATCTTATTCGAATATGCAACTTGGATAGTTTTCTTCTCAGGTGCTGTTCCTGTTACAACTGTGAAAAAAGGCGTTGTACCACAACAACCACTAGCTTTGGCTATTAAAAAAGGAAAAGAATCATCATCGGATTCGTCAGATGACGATACTAATAAACAACCTAGGAAAGTTGCTCCAGTTCCAATTAAAAAAACAAATAAACCAAGTAGTTCAAGCAGTAGTGATTCTGATGTCAAATCATCAGCAAATAAAAAACAACCAACAACAATAGCTGCTAAAAGTAAGATATCTACTTTATTAATATTCTCTGTAAATCTCGTTTAATCTAAATTTGAAGCTCCTACTACACCTGTTGCTCCATTAACAAAAAAGCCTACTCTTACTACTCCAGCAAATGTTATTCACAAGAAACAACAAGACACATCTTCATCTGATTCATCAGATGATGATACACCAAAGCAAGCACCAGTAAAAGTACCAACAACTGCTAAACCAGCACAACAACCCGTTAAAAAACCTGCTTCATCAAGTAGCAGCGATTCAGATGATGATGATAAACCAGCCAATAAGAAACCAGTTGTATTAAAAGGTAGATCTCTTTCTTCCGTTCACATTTGACCCATTTCTATACATTAATTCTTTACAGCTACACCAACTGTGGCAAAAGGTGCAGTACCACCACCAGCTTCTGTTTCAAATAACAAGAAGAAAGATTCTTCATCGGATTCAGATTCATCAGATGATGATAAACACAAGAAAATACCAGCCAAAGTAACACCAGCTACGAAGCCAGTGCAACAACCAGTTAAAAAACCTGCTTCATCAAGTAGCAGTGACTCCGATGATGATGAACCAGCAAAAAAGGCGCCGCCAGCTCAATCAAAGGGTAGCTGTTTTTAATTTCTGACACATTTAACTCATCATGTCGTTCTAGTGGCACACAAAGCTACTATACTATCACCGGCTAGTCTTTCAACGAATAAAAAAAAAGATTCTTCATCTGATTCCGATTCATCTGATAATAATACACAAAAGAAAGTACCAACAACTGCTAAACCAGCACAACAACCCGTTAAAAAACCAGCTTCATCAAGTAGCAGTGATTCAGATGATGACGATAAACCAGTTGCCAAGAAGCCAGTCGTATCAAAAGGTACATATTCCTCTTCCATTCATATCTGATCTAGTTATTTTTATTGATTTTTTACAGCTACACCAATTGTGACAAAAGCTGCAGTACCACCACCAGGTTCTGTTTCAAATAGCAAAAAAAAAGATTCTTCATCTGATTCCGATTCGTCAGATGATGATGCGCAGAAAAAAAAACCAATAACTACGAAACCAGTACAACAACCAGTTAAGAAATCTGCTGCATCAAGTAGCAGTGATTCAGATGATGATGATAAACCATCAAACAAGACACCAGTTCCATCAAAGGGTAACTATTTTTCATTTCTAAAGCATTGAATTTATTATTTTATTCTAGTGATGCCAAAAGCTGCTGTTCCACCACCAGCTTCTGTTTCAAATAATAAGAAAAAAGATTCTTCATCAGATTCTGATTCATCTGATGATGACAAACAAAAAAAGGCACCAATAAAAGCACAAACAACTGCTAAACCAGTGCAACCACTAGTTAAAAAACCAGCTTCATCAAGTAGTAGTGATTCTGATGATGATGATGATGATAAACCATTAAACAAGACACCAGTTCCATCAAAGGGTAAATATTTTTAATGTTGAAAACATTGAAATCATGATTTCATTCTAGTGATGCAAAAAGCTCCTATTCCACCACCTGCTAGTGTTTTGAATAAGAAGAAGAAAGACTCATCATCTGATTCAGATTCGTCCGATGAGGATACAAAGAAAAAGGCACCAGTAAAAACACCAACAATTGCTAAACCAGCTCAACAAGCTGTTAAAAAACCAGCTTCATCAAGTAGTAGTGATTCAGATGATGATGATGGTAAACCAGCAAACAAGAAACCAGTTACACCAGTTGCTAAAAGTTCAGTTATAACACCTACTAAAAAGAAAGATAGTTCATCTGATTCATCAACTGATGAAGACAAGAAAAAAAAGTCAACTACTTTAGTAGCTAAACCAATATCAACATCTACTCCAGTTCAACAACCAACTAAAAGACCTGTTCCATCAAGTAGTAGTAGTGATTCAGATGATGATACATCAGCTAAAAAGCCAGCTGCATCAAAAGGTAAAGTGTTTTGGTTTGAAAATACATATAACTGTTCATTTGTGTTGTTCTAGTTGGTGCAACACCGGTAGCTAAAAAACCTGTCGTATCAACACCAGCTGTTACTTCAGTGAACAAGAAGAAAGACTCATCATCTGATTCAGATTCATCAGATGACGATAAGACCAGAGCAAAACCAACGGTTTCAGCTACTAAACCTGTTCCTACACCAACAACAAAGAAGCCTGCTAGCTCAAGCAGTAGTAGTGATTCGGATGACGAGACAGTTGCTAACAAGAAACCAACACAACAAACGTTATCTGTGAAAAGTATGATTCATCAAATTTTGAAACATTTTTGTAGAAATCTATGTACTTCTAATGTTTTAGCTCCTACTGTACCTGTTACTCCATCAATAACCAAAAATTCTATTGTATCAAATAATAACAATAAAAAGAAACAAGAAACATCTTCTGATTCATCTGATGAAGATGCAAAGAAACAACCTGTTAAAGCAAACGTAGCTACATCGGTCCAATCGAACAAACGTAAAGCATCTTCATCAAGTAGTTCAGATTCAGAGGATGTTGCACCATCCGCTAATAAAAAGCAAACGCCATCAATGGCAAATAAAAGTATTCTTTGTTTTTTTCTTAATATTTGGTTTTTATACTTCTAACTTTTTGGTTATAGCTAATGTGACTCCAATCGTCAATAAAGCTGCTATTGCTCCACCAGCAAAACTTTCTGCTAATAAGAAACAAGATTCTTCATCTGATTCCGATTCATCTGATGAAAAGACGAACCAAAAGACATCAGTCGTACTTGCTAAATCAGTACCAACTGCAAAATCTAGTCAACAATCATCAAAAAAACCTGCTTCATCAAGCAGTAGTAGCGATTCTGACGATGATAAACCAGTAACAAACAAAAAATCTCTTGTCAATGGTTTGTATACTAAAAAGATTCTGTCGAATAAGATGGTGGTCGTTTATTTGAAAAGCTACCTATATCGTTTTGTCAAGAAAATATCGTCCCGCATTGAATTATGTATAGAAAACTACTTTTTCAACAAATTTTATTGTTCTGAAAAGCCATATACCAATCAAAGAATATTATTGGAATTGTGCATAATATGACCAAATATGAAGACTCAGCATATTTCGAAACCATCCGATATCAAATTTCATTGATAGTTATTTCAATATAGTTTTTCTTTTTCTTCATTTGTGTGCATCTAATATTACTCACAAAGACTTTCTTGGTAGCCTAAACTTAAGTATTTTTTCTAGTCTATGTAATTTTTGACTAATGTGAAGTGTTAAATTCTTGTATACTGCTCCTGAGGACAAAGTCAACCAACCATGTAACTTTCTCATTAATTGTATACAAACAAGTTCTATGAAAATACCAATTGATTGTCCTCTAATATAATGTGCATCACGGCCAAGTCTGCTAATTAATGTCTAGAAAAGATCGATTTTTTCGATTTCTTTAGAGCAGAAAAATATACGAGTTTTAAGATAAATACTTGTTGAGCAAATAAGTTTCTATCTATTAATAATAACTTCATCATATTCTATCATTTGATATATGTGAATTTTTTCGAAAGTGACGAAAGTATCTTTTTATTAGATACATACAAAGACGCCACAAACCTATTAAAGCAACCTTCAACAAATTCGATATAAGTTGATTTGGAGACATATTAAGTCTTAATATTTGATCAAATAATGGAGGTTACTACAATATTTCTTAATTAGTATATGGTTTTTCAGCACAATAAAGCTAGAAAAAAAAGTAATGTCCTATATACCACGCGATGAGAGACGAGTTGCTGTACAAAATGGTATCGATAAATTTCCAAATCAAGGGTTGTCATCTTATCTGGCAAAATCATTGTAATTTTTTTATTATTTTCAATCAATCCATTGTCCTTCGTTTAGGCGCAGCTGTAACTAAACCATCTGTTACATCAGTCAATGGCAATGGTGCTTTAAAGCGTAAAGCGTCATCATCATCATCATCAAGTAGTGATTCTGAGGAAAAAAATCCGTCTAATAATGCATCTGTCAATGATACAACAAAACCAAATAATCAAGAAGTTCGTTTTTATCTTTTTTTTTTATTATCTTTTTTATTTTGAATGTTTATTTAGATGACTGTTTCAAAAAATAACGATAGACAAAAAGTACATATAATTCAATGAAATATTATTAGAAAATATAATTTTCGGATTTTTTAGCGTCAAACATCACCATTTCGACGGGTTCGTGAAGAAGATGCTGATCCAAATTATCTACAAAAAATTGGTAAAAATGCATTTGAACATAAGGTAAACGAATTTTTTACTTTTAAAATTAAAATTTTATGTATTATATTTTTATAGGCTGGTGCACGTGGTTCATGGGGTGAAAAAGCAAATGCTGATTTAAAAAATACTCGTGGTAAAAGTTTTCGTCATGAAAAAACCAAGAAAAAACGTGGTTCATATCATGGTGGTAAAATTGATTCAGTTAATTCGTTTTCAATAAAATTCGATGATTCGGATGACTAATAGAAAAACAAAGGAAAGAAAATTTTCATGTGTGTTTGTTGATTCATTGTTACGTTTGTTTTTTGACGTAAATAAAAGAAGAGAAAGAAATATCAAATATAATAAATATAAAACAGAGTTGTTTGAGACAGACATACGTGTCATTTTATGAATCATTGTAAGTATGCAACAACAGAAGGATACGCAAGAAGAATTTTATTTTGATTATGTTCGATTACTTGTTGAAAATCGAATGCTTTATCGATCAGGTTATTATTTGGGTGCATCAAATCAATTTGTTCGTTTATTTACACTAAACGCTCGTCGATATTGGCTTGCACAAGCTACTAGTGAACATGTTACAGCTGATTGGAAAATACATTTTTCAATTCGACCTCGTGATGTTCCGTTGGCATTTAATCTTCTATCAGAACTTTATTATAATATGAAATTGCCTGTTGGTCTTAAAGCTCGATATCCAGATAACTGGAAAGATTTTGAAAATCAGTGGCCTAAACATATGTATGGGCGTGAAATTACCGTTTACATACTTCTCTATGAAAATACAGTAAAAATTCATCGAACAATGCTTTATTCTAGGAATAATTTAGCGCAACCAAAAAATATGATTGATTGGGTATTGGCAAACACAGGAGATATATATTCAATGCATGATTTAACACCTAAAGATGAAATTCCACTTGACCGATATCTTGATTATACCGATCAAGCTGAAAAATTACTTGAGCAATATCGAATTGAATCGAATGGATGTGCTATTGGTGATTATCCAATTGGAAAATATTCATCATTACGTAATGAAAAATTTGTTGCTATTGAAGATCATGAAAATGATGAAAAAATACGACTTATCTATCCACCGAATGAATGTGGCTATAACGGTTCAAAAGATATTCGAGATTTAACAAAAGAAATAATTGATTTAAAAACATATCGAAAAAGTAAAAGACAAAAGAAAATAATCAAAATTTTATTTTCAATAATAATTGTTTTTCTAGTAATTTTTATTCTAAATAAATTAATATATTAATAAAAAAATAACATTGAATTTAATTATGATACATTCAAAAAACACATACTTCTAATAACGATATAATTACCTTGAATCACTTAATTATCATTCAACATACATATTTAGATGCAAAATAGACAACTATATATTTTCATTACACTAATGTTTCTTTGATTGGTACAAAATGGCTATTGTTAGTTGGATGGGTGATCATAATGAATATTGTAACCAATGTCCTCCAATTACCAATCAAGTATGTGTAAATCGATGTATACCTAGCAAGCCAGTCGAGCGGGCCATTTTTTTTTTACAAGATTCGCCTTTTTCTTTATATACAAGAAGAAAAATGAAGCGAAAGACTAGGCAGATGTGAGTCGACTATGTTAAAATACGCTGTTGCGATACGGTTCATAGATTGTGTGTATAAATTATCGTTGTTCACTGAAAAAAAAGAGAAATAGAGATAGAGAATGTGTATCTCTTTTTTTATATCCTCATCTACTTCATTCGATTGAGAAGATAAATTAACATAAGCTTAAAAAATCATCGCTCTTGAACTTTCTACGAAATTTTAAAGCTTAGTTTGTTTTGAAGAGTATCTTAGCTATTCATTATGCAGCAAGGTCCTACATTGCCAATGCAAGCACATTATTCTCAGCATTATCAACCGTATTCTATTGTTCCGCCATTATCAGTATCATCCCCATCACTTCTTGTACCACAATACTCATCAACGAATAGCCCTCAATCATTAAACTCTACTGATACTGTAGTATATGGGCCCAATGCAACACCATTGAAAAATTCAAAAACAATAAATAATTCGTCATCATCGTCACGTTCAAATGGTGTTGATTTACGTCGTTTAATTCTACTAAATTTACCTACTGATCTTATTCGAGAATATCTCGAACTTTATATAGAATATTTATCAGGCGAAGCTGAAATAGAACGAGTTGAATATTCCACTCTTGAAGATTCAACTGCCATGGTTACTTTTAAAACTGAACTTGGTTAGTTTAGAGAAAAAAAAATTTATTTTTGTTTTGTTTATGAAAACGAATAATAATTTATATTTATTAAGATATGGCAGAAGTACGTCGTCGTCATTTAATACGTCCAAAATTAAACGATTCTGAAATTTCTTTAGTTGAAGTTGTACCACCAGCAACTATTATGATACAAAATTTACCATCCGATATATCACGTGATGTACTCGAGTTATATTTTTCAAATCGACGTCGTAGTAATGGTGGACAAGTGACTGATGTTGTATTTGATGATGAATATCAACATGCACTCGTCACATTTGCTGATTACAAAGGTTTTCAAAAAAATTAAAGACAAATCTAGTTTTTCAAATTTTTTTAATAATAAATTGCTTCATTTTAGATGTACGTCGTGTTATTAAACATGAACATTCAATACATGGTCATCGTCTGGATGTAAGAATTTATTATAAATATATGGGTATTGAACCATTTATTGATGCATCTAATATTGATAAACAACCAGATCCAATATGTTATCGTGCATTGGATGATAGTCGATATTTATTTTTACTCAAAAATCGTCCATTACTTGATGAACTTCGTGAACAATTAAAACCATTAAATGCTCATGTTAGTTTACAAACAGAAGGTATTTTAGAAATAATATTTAATGGTGCACGTTCAACAGCAAAACGCCGTTTACAATGGGCAAAAGATGTTAACAAATTAGTTGATCATTTTCTAACTGAACGTCTTGTAATTGATAAAGTACCATGGAATAATAAAAAAATACCATCAATTGTTTCGGAACAACTTGCAGATCTTTCTTTGAAAGATAACACACGTCTTATGCAATTAGCTCCTTCAGAATATCAACCAGATCATATCATTGTAACAGCATTAAAAGAGTATCTTGATAGAGCTTTAAATGAACTTAATGACGTGCTCTCAATGCCAAATTTAATTCCTGATAATACTATTCCTCTTAATGATGCTATTTATCGTAGTAAACCAGTGAGTACAACACGTGATCCAAAAGTAAATAATCATCGATCATCCTTATTACTCGGTTCATCACCATCAAGACAAAGTACACATAATTCTGAATTATCTGCATCACTATCAAAAATGACTATTAATGATAATATGGATAATTTACGTTTTTATCAACTTGATTTACTCTCAATGCGTTTTGTTGATTTAGCTCGAAGAACATATTTGGATTTGAGAATTGATATTGATCGACCAGGACAACGAATTCATTTATATGGTCCATCTGATCAAGTAGCTGTTTGTAAAAATTATTTTGAATCTGTACTCAATAGTATGGTACATAAACATTATAAAATAGGAAAAGAAATGGCAGTTTTTCTATCAAATCCCGATACCGGTAAAAAATAAACAATTTTATTTCTAAGAAGGGGGCAAAAAGTTTCCAGACAAAATATTTGAACTATTTTTTTGCGTATTTAAAAACATTGGCAGTGTATTAGAATAAGAATTTTGTTCTCTTTCAGAATATAGGCTTATAATTTTTCTGTGACTTTTGACTATTGACCTATAAGTGAAACTTGAAAAAACTCAACAAATAAATCGTTTTTGAAAGAAGAAACCTCAAATGGAAGTTGCTCGAGGCATGCCGCAAAACTTTATTGAATATATTAGAACATATAGAAAATTTTTCTCTACAAAGCGGTAAGTGTGTTGCAAGCTTTTGAGGTGCAGTAATTGCTTTTATTAACTCTATCGCACGAAAAATAACTCTTTATCACAATCCTACTATTTTTATCGGATGAACCAAAACTTTTTCTTCTCGCATCATTTTGTAGAGTAGAGCTCATCCTCAAGTACTATGTACTCATATAACTTATCCGATGTCTACAAGAAGCAGACTTGTCTTCAGAAAATTTGTTTGAACCCTATCAAGATTTACTTATAGCTGAATAGTCTAAATTCACAGAAAAAATTCTAAACATATATTCCAACAGAACATAAAATTCTGATTTTAATACATTATCAATGCATTTATTTACGCGAAAAATAGTTCAAATATTTTGTCTAGAAATTTCTTGCCCATTCATTATTGTCACTTTGTAAAGAACACAGAAAAAGAAAAATATTCTTTTTATCTAGTCGAATTAATAATCGGAAACTTAATGCATACGGATCATGTATGTGCATTTGAAATTGAACGTACAGGTAATAGTCATCGACGACATTCAGTATCTCCACCACAAAGTATCAATAGTCTTGATTCATCATCAATAACGACTGCTCATAATAAACTTATTTTATATGGTTTGACACGTGAAAGTTGTGATCGTGTCTATGATATACTTCGTCATGATGTACGTGTCAGTTCAATAATGTTAGATAAAGATGATAAACGTTGTTTAGCAAGTGAATCATGGCATACATATGTACGTAATCTATATTCAAGTTCAGGTGGTTTTCGACGACGACGTGTACTTTTACAAGTAAAACAAAATCATTTAAAATTAGTTGGTTTTAGACAAGATGTTGATACTATGCGTAGACGTATTTATGATTATTTTGTTGAAAATTCAATTTCATTTTATGAATCTGATTGAACTATGTGAAAATCAAAACAACACATGAAAAAAAAAGAAAATTTTATCATCTTGTTTTTATTCTTTTTATGGATGTTGTTTTTATAATTCTTTATCGTTTTATTTCAATTGTAGATTTAGAATAGCATTTGTCTATGTAAGCTGTAATATTTAAGTAAAATTAATATGAAAAGATTAGAATCAAGATAAGTTAAAATGGGTGCTTTGTTTTTTTTTCTTTTTAAATTTGAATTTAATAATAAATTTTATGTTTAAAACAATTTCATGAAAACGACAAATTTTTTTAATTTTTGTTTTTGTGTAATATAAGCATGAACGTAACTAAGAGTAAATCAATTCATAAGATTGCTGTAACATCTATCGTTGTCTCCTATTGACATCGATCTCTGGGCGGAAATAAACGGTTGATAACGGTTCGAATTTTCTTGTTTATTTAGAAACAATCGAATACATTCATTTTTCAAATAAAAAAATTATGTTGTGGAAAAAGAGATGATCAATTTGCTCAAATAAAATCAAAGTATATTTGAAAAATCATAAAAAGAAAATCTTAATATAATTCATTTGTTTTCTTCTAAATCATTCATAATAGATTCAATATCCATTAATTTCAACTTCTTTTGTGTACGTCGTTCAGTTATTATTTTTGAGAATCCAAGGATAACTACACTTAAAATAACCAATGCTGAACCAAGTAATGCAAATAAATTTGATCGTTTTTCTGTAAAAATATTTTGAAGAATTAATGAAAAAATAATATCAGCTGAAGTAAGAAGTAAATATATAGCTGGATGTTCACGTTTCATTGCTTTTTGTGATAAAATATTTGGGATAATCATAACAACACAAAGCACAGATGCTAATAAATATCGCCATGATATAATATAGTTCAATGTGAGACCATCATGAAGAAAAAATTTTCTATATAATTCATAAATAATAAGAAAAACGATTACAGCTACACAATACTGGATATTGATTATACTTGGTTTGATTGGTTTAGATGTTGAAACAAGTTTTTTAAATGATAGAACATTTGCTGCTGATGCTAATGCACTAGCAATCGCTAGAGATAGACCAAGTAAACGAAATTGACTATTAACAATAACAATCGAAGGATTTGTTGATGAAAATAAAAAACTTGGTTGACTAACAAAAATGACACCAAGTATAGTAAGAGGTAACGCTATCAATGAACTAATTGATGGACGTTCTCGATAAATAACTATACTAAAAATAACTGTCCAAACCACTCTTGTATAGCATAAAGTTGTTACATCGGATAATTCAACATAACGTACAGCAAAAAAATATAAGAAAAAACATCCAGCACCTGTTGTACAACATAAAATTTGTAAAAATATTTGAGTACTTGTACCAGAAATTAATGGATAATGTTTATATGATGCAAATAAAAGCATGATTGGAATTTGAATAATAAAACGTAAAATGAATGCATCAATTAAATTAACACCTAATTGTTTTATTGAAAATATTGCACAAGTAGAAATAAATGATGATGTTAGTGTATAGATTATACCAGAAAAACGAGTAAGCCAACTGATTTTTTTGAATGAACCTTTTCTAATAGATAAATCATTGATACTTAATGTTGATACAGCTGCTGGAATCAAAACACAAGGTTCAATAACAGCATCGTCAGTATCCAATTTATCTTCATGTTCTTTATAAAAAACTATTTCTTTCGGTGCCATGATAGAATATTAATGGAGATACATGTTGTAATACTTATAGTTTATTAAACTTTATCTGTAAGTCAATAAAAACAAGTGACGCCACTAATGATAGAATATTTTAAAAAATTGAAATGAAGTAATTCATAACTACCATTTTATTAGACGATTAAATGAATGCAAATTGAGAAATATACGAACGAAAAATTACTCTCACTAGTACAAAGAAACGACTAAATTACGGACTTGCATGACTTGAAAATAGTGTATGATCCATCGTCAGAGATATTGATATCAAATTCTGTCTTTGTACTTTACAATTAGCTCGAAGTATATTGACAATGGCAATCGATAAGAGGTTGCATGTATAGCTTTTCGTGTTGCTTTTTCAATTAAGAATAAAATATTTTGCAAGTTTCGGTCTATTCTTTTAATACCAATCAAATAGAAGGCTTTTTATTTTCAATCTACGTTAATAATTCTGATTGAATGTCATGTGAATAACATGTGATATATCATTGTTAGTGGTGTGAGGCAAATATGGATGTGTTTTGATGATGAAATAATATCTCATTGGTCCAAAGAGCGGCTCTCTGTATAATTTTTTTAACGAAATTTTGTCTGATACGGGCAACTCAGAGATTGTTATTTATACAATTAAAGTCAAAAGGTTATTTGAACTGTTTATATCTAACTCAAAGATCATGATATGAAACAATGAAAGATTCTAGTAGTCAGAAAAGGTTGTGCATTTGTATTCGAATAATTAATAACGAAGCAGTCTGTTACATATTTATGATCTATCACGTTTACTCTTGGCCTTTTGTTTTCTTGCATTAGTTTGTGATAATATTTCAAAATTCAAAGTACTTGATGAATGAAAATGTTCGATACTCATAGTAATTAAATAGAGGTTTTACTTGAATTTTGACGAACAATTTCTTGTAATAACAAGTGCAAAAAGAATTGTTTTATGCTATAGAAAGAATATTAACTCTTGAGTCTAGATTTTTATAGAAACCTCATCATCTTGAAAATATGAAATAAAATTATATTCAACAGTTAGATATTGCGTTCTTCTCAATACTGTATCACACAAATGAAGACAATTCATTTTTTTTGAACATTTCGTAATTTATAAAACCAGTCAGTATATCCATATTTGAAGCTAAAATATAGAACTTGCACATGTCCTTTAATCCTATTATACTAATACGATGTATTGTGAAAATTTTCTAGCAGTTTAGGGTTGTTTTCAAAAACTATTCGATTGTCAGAGAAACGATCTATGGCATATATTTCTGCATTTCGAACAGAGATTTTCCTTTTTTTTTTCTACAGGTGCTCTATTATATTTTTTGTCTCCTATAGAATTTTAAAAATGCAACAAATAAGGATGTATTTCACATTATTTTAATGAAACTTTTCTCATAAAAACGTGATGATGGAAATCAAAATGATAAATTTTACATCAAAATCATGCCTTCAAAGTCATTGAACTCATATCAAAACTGTGACATTAAAAACTGTAAACTTTCACCTAAGTCATTTTTTTTCTGCTATATGAGTCTCTCTCTCTGACCCAGGCGAAATAGATGGTCTGAACTTTTTCCAAAGCCCAGGGACATTGCGTTTTGAGGCACTGCATGGCGAACTATTGTAAAGTGCATATCACCATATATCACTATAAAACAACACGTATCTAGAGTATTAAAAATAATAATTTATATAGTCCAAATCAGTGCACGACGTCTCTCGCATGGGTGTGCGTGGAGGTATGAGGGTGGATATATTGATGTAGTGTACGTGTAAAATGTAGAGGTGCCTGTGGTTGTGAGTATATGATGTTCGTGTGCATTGAGGGTGTGCCCGTGTGGTGTATGCTATTGGGTTTAGGCTTGTGAGTATGAATGTGATTATTTGAACAGTGAAAAGAAGCACCACATTTCATGCACAATGGCGCCATTGCTGACATCCACACTCACGCCCACATCTACACCCTGGTAGCAGCGACGAGCGTTACTTCATCAATTTTTAGTTCACTTTGAAGAGCATCATTCAAATGAGCATTTTATGTGCTCGTATCTACATTGTCTGGATGCTATGAAAATTTGTTATTCTAACCCTTTACTTATCTTCAAGTCGCTCAAAATGACCAACGTTTTTATGGCTCGTTCTTAGTCAAAAAATGTGAAAACACATCAACTTCACGATAATAAGCAGTCTAAATACAGATCTTAAACTGTCTGTATTTGCAAAGTTTGCTCGAACGCAGAAGCACAGTTCATTTACTATACATTACGACCATTGAAATGTTTACATTAGCGCGTACTAAATGATGTAAATTCTTTTGATTTTTAAGTTGTTTACGACTATTTGCAAACAAAATTATTCATAGATGAAGTATAACAGAATGAAATCAAATGGCTTCGATAAAAAAAAACGGACTTCTGTGACAGTTAAATAGGGGTGCACGAAAGGCATTCGGGCCTCTTTCAATAAAATCTTAAGGACAAAGCCTGATGATAGAGTGCTTTTCTCAGTATTGTCAAATAGTATATGTAGCCCAAATAGGAGATCTAACTATTGACTATCGATCTATTAAGAAAAAATTGAAAAGAATATGCTGTATCCTTACTCTTGGGCTACTCTGTATAACTGTGGTTTGAACCCAAAATGTCATCTGGATGCTGGTTTACGCCCAATGAATTATAATCCACATTCGGCGCATAAGCAGATGGTTGGATACAGATAGAGTAATATTAGATCCATGGATTCATGACTAGGATAGCATCCTGTGCAAAATCAACCTATAAGTTCTTATACGCTGCTGAAATCAATTAGAAAAATGAATTTTTTCTTAAGCCGTTCGTTTGTTGCTAACGCTTTTACCATTACCTCATTGGATTCTGTTTAATTGAAATATTCTGCTTTTGTTTTCCAGATACATCAAAGTACAACAAATGAGAGAATTTTTTTTTATTTTTGTTTTTCCCATAAACATTTATTATTTTCAAAAATATCCAGATCAATCCTACTTGTGGATTCAATCGAAAGGGATCATATTCAATATCGAGTTACTTCAAAAGTTGGCGCTGTCTTTAGAAAAAATGGTCTGATCCGACTTAGATTTCTTCGTAGTCTTGACAATCAGATTGCACCGGAAGAGGTTCGATCAGTTCCTGTCGAATCCGATTATCCAAATATTATCAGAATTGGTCAGATCTTTCTTTTGAAAAAAGTGGAAAACGAAGGATTTCACAACTGTTCTACTAGGGTTTCATCAAAATCAGCGCTCATATTTTGTATCGAATTATGTTTCAAACATGTTAGTCCAATCCTTTAAGATCCACTTATCGGACCACATCAGATGTAAGAAATAAGGTCTATGATAGCAGTTGCAAGTTGTGAGTATTTGTTAACTTCCAACAGTAAAACCTAAAGTGGATTATGCCAAGAGAATCCTTTGATACTTTTTCCAATCTTACAAAGGAGCTTCTTCAACTGTTGGATCATTTTTACCTTAACTGTTTGTCTAATAGTCAAACTTTACTGATTTATTAAATACACTAGAATAATCTAGTTTTCCATGTTTTCTGCCGAGGAAATATATCCAACTGTCGGACGTCATCGTACTCATGGCGCGCCTGAAAGAAGATCTCATTATCATGTAGATGTAAGCGTGTGGATGTAAATATGTTTTTTAATGAAAAAAAGACATATTGACACCCGCGTCCTCGTTTTTTTTTACTGAATAGGAGTCAACTTCGTAGTATCAAATGAAAATTCTATATTCAAAATTTTAGTACTTACCTTCTCGAAGAAAAGAAAAAAATTTCGGAAATTGTAAAAAGATCTCATTTTCTTACTTCTACGAAGCGCTGTTGCTAAGACCTAGCGAGAAGGAAATGCAGATATCTCGATTTAAACTTGCAATCACTATTCTCTTTGAGAACAAATATGAATTCCACGAAATGAATTAATAATTGTTCAGATAATATTTGTTATTTCTTAGTCTTTAACGTATTTGATTCGGTTAAATAAACGATTAACTTTTCTATATCTTTTTTTCGTTCAATGAACATTTGTGGGTTCAGTCTGTATAAAACACGTGAATTTTTCTTTCGTCCGTCTTTAACATTAGTTTTTTTCGTAATTGCGTTCGATTTGTATTATGTTTATCATAATCATTCATATCTTTCGTTCGACATGTGCATGTTGTATCTCTCGATTCAATTTTTAAACTTATAATTCAATGTATGAAAGTAAGTTTTTCTCACCATTCAATTCATTCATTGTAACAAAATATTTTTTTTAAATAGATATAAGTATTCCGACATCATTTGTTTATCCTTATGAGACGATTTCTTCGTCACCTGTACGATCATCATATGAAAACAATACACAACAGCCTGTTTATGTATCACTTGAACCGAATTTACCTGATCAAATTAAAACTATTTCAAAAAATAACACAAATGCACTATCAATTATTCCTCTATTTCAAAGAAAATTTCCGATTGTAACAGTAGCTATCCTTGGCTTTTTTGAGTTATTTGCTGGACTAATTGTACTTACGCTGGAATTATTCACTTTCGATATTGCTCTTGGACTTTGGTGTGGCGCTATTTATGCACTTGCTGGTGCTGCTATTATTGTGCTTGGTTTGTTGAAAATTTTTTAAAAATTAATTGTTTCTTTTAAAGTCTTGTGTTTTTGTTTATTATATTTAGTTATTGTTACCGATCGCGAACGTCATCAAACATCAGTTGTATTGATTTTTCAATTCATTGGTAAGAAAAATAATTTTATCTTTTGTTTTATTAAACTTCTTTTTTCAATTTTAGCATTAATATTTACAATTATTGAAATATTATTACATAGTGATTTATATCGAAAACGATGTATAACAAAACCAAGTGAACCAACACGTGAATTAGCATCTCATTGTAAGATAGCTATTATTCAAATGGCTGCTGCTACTCTAGTATTTGGTAGTACGATTGTTTTTTCGATAATCTATTTTCGAGTAACAATGGTTTTACTTAAACAACCACATGGAACTTTTAACATGTCGAATGTGATTAATTTAACTACTTGTTAAGGATTTTGAAATTCACGATTGTGTTGTATTTTCACTTTTATTGTGTATTGTATGTATATCTGTATCTATTAATTATCTAATTTAGATAAGCTAACTTTTTTATTATTATTATTTTTTTCTGACAAGAAAAACTTAAAAAATATCTTATGATGATCACATGAAATTTTGTTTTTTTTTCTCACGAATTATTATTAGCTGTTGATAGAGAACACAAAACAGAACAGTGATATTGATTTGAGATGTTTTTATTATGTATTGACATGTCAAAAAAAATATTTTAAAGTCATTCTTTTGAAAACCGATTTCAAGAGAACATACGACTCAATCACATGTAATTTATACGATAAGACGGAACTTTAGAAGAAAAATTTTGATCACTCGAGTTCTACAAAACTGATGTTTTTTTTTAAACTAGTGAATTAGACGACATGAATGTTGGCATGAACAGTCATTGCTCGTTCATACATGGGAAAGACTTGAATTAGAAAGAAAAGACAGTTGAATCTACCATTGAAACGTGAGCAATTGATAGTATGTCGAATAACAGCTTTTCTATGCCTGGGTAGTCTTGAATGTTAATGGTCAACTCGAAAAGTTGTGTAAGATATGGTAGAAGAATTTATTTTTAAATAAACATGAATCAGTAGAAAGAAATTCTTCGACAAAATATTAACAGAGAGAATGTGAAGAACCATTTCAAACTATCGCCTTCAATGAAATTTGAGATTTCTAAGAAACAAGTTTATGTGTTTCATAAATCATGAATATTTTTAATCAAAGTTCGCGACAATATTCGCTTTATAATGCGTAAGGATCATTAATAGGACTAATTTTCGCTACACCAACGATATATTCAGATCGAACTAGGCATGTGACAGCTTCGAATCAAGGCATCTAATTGATTTTGATCATCGAATTTTAAATAAAATGGAATATTCCATTGATTAAAACTTGAATTTAGATTTTTCTTGAAAATTTCTCGAATAAAAAAACAAATAAAAAACTATTTTCCCGTCGATTCTAATGAAAACTGTATCATTTGATCTCGAAACCAACACTGATGACGAGTATCTGGTTATTTTTGTCTTTTTATTTTATTCTGCTTCAAACTGAGATTTTCATGAAAAGGTTTGAATTTACGCAACGAATATTATTTTTAGCTTTTTATTCGATGCAGTTATGCTTGTTAAGACATGACCTGATACTCCAATAATTTGTTGAAAACTGAACAACTTTTATATCGAATATTTATTTGTATGTCACATCATTTCGTAGTAAAATGTTAAAGTTTCAGATCCTCTAAAACAAAATTCCATTTTCTGAAACTCCGTAAGGTATTCATCTCACCGATATGATACTCACTTAACAGGTCCAAAAAGAGTATAAACTTTTGTTTTTGTTTAAAATTATAAGGTTTTGTTTATCATAAAAACTATAGTTTAAATGAAAAAAATAAGTTCTGAACTTAAAATGTTCTTATAAACAACTGTCGATGATGGAACTTCGTTATGAGTTATTACTAGTGAAATAAAAAAAACGATAAAACATTTATTTGAACATTAAATTAACAATATCAAGAAACGTTTTAATCAAATCATTTTATATAATGTAAGGAAATAGTATATCACCTTAAAATAACTGATATGTTCTATTAAATTGCAGTTGATGATTGATATTGAATTATGTTTTTATTTTTATTTGTATATAATGTTTTATTACATAAGTCTCTTGTTAATAATAAGAAAAAGCAATAGTAGTATAAAAGAGTACTACTCATAGTATTTACGTCAGCAGAAGAATGTTCAGCAAGTGGCTCTTGATATTAAGGATGTAAAAAAAAAGACTACAGACTGAAGAGAGCACTTTAGCATCTAACTACCAGTTACAAATACTTATCACTTACGCAAATAAAGTAATAAGAAGCATTGAAGTACCGGCAACAAAAAAGTGTCATGGTCCATCGAAATTCGACTTTTGAAACAAACTCAATAAGAGTATTTAATAATTTTGCCATTCTAGATAAATAAATTTTTTCGTTTTAAACAAACAAAACTTACAAAATCTTGCTTTTTTAAAATGATTGTTATGTATATTTTTGATGTTCAACACAACTTTTATTAATTATCACAGATAATAAAAAGAAAACAAACAGAGATTTCATTCACTAATTATAAAAAATGTTTATTCTTTATGGTATAATATATTTAATGCCCATAAAAGCATAATAGCTAATATCACTTTCAAAATTGCATTCACATCTAAATTATGTGTATTATTCTGCTCGGTAGGTTGTGGTGTTGTTAAACGATCAACTAATCTTAATAATAAATCATTTTGATCAAGTGTTCTACTTAAAAGATGTTCTAAAAGTTGATTGTCATTATTTTGTTGTTTTTCATCTTCTTCATCTGATCTATCACTATCTGATAATACTTGTGACGTTTCAGTAAATAGTTCTTGACGAAGTTTAACAATAAGACCTGACAGTTCGTTTCGTTTTAGTCGATCTACATGGTGTCGTTTTTTTTTTATTGACTCTTTATATTCACGAATAATAGCGTCAAAACGACGAGAGTTTACATCATTTGTCGATGTTGATGCTGCTGTATGTGATGTAGACATTGTTACTGATTTCATTGGATTAACCATTGAAGAAGGTGCAGGAGTACGACCTATATGAATTATTAAATCATGCTTTAAGAAATGAAATCTTACGAGGTTGCAATGATAATTTTTTTTCAACATATGTTATTTGACGAATTAATTCTTCAAATGATTGATCAAAGTTTTCGAGTAATGAAAAATCGATATGAACATTCGAACCTTTGATAATACCCAACCAACTTTCAGCACGAAAAGATTCTTCCATTAAACATGGAATAAATTTAATTCGATTTTCAGCTGCATATTCAGCTTCTATAGAAATTTATTTTGAAAAATTAAACAAGAAGAATAGTTGAAAAAATTTCTTTTTCATTTACCTAATCGACAATAATCACTTTCGTAGTATTTTTGATTTATACAAAGAAGTACAATATAAGAATTTTCTACAGCTCGAGCCATACTAACAAGTATATCATCACCCATATCCGTTAGATCCATCCAAACTTTATAATTTCTTTCCTAAAGTATCAAAAATAAAAAATTTTGTTGATATACTTAAAAAGTGGTGAAAAAACGTTTAATAACAATGTATTTTTTATTTTGTTTTCTATAATGTTAAACAATTGGAGATTTCTACAAAACTGCACAAGTTAGTTTTCAGATCCCAGAAGACTCTGTTGAAACTGTTTTTTAATGATATCATTAGAACGAGAACAAAATTAGTGATCGCCGTATTTTCTACGACCTTGCATTAAAAAGTTCAAAGGATGACAAAAACTAAGTTTTTTTTTACGGTTTTTGTAATAGTTTTCACGTTAAGTCATAGAGAATGCGGAGATCCTTCATGTTATTCTCTGTAAAATGACATTATTGAAAGATAGCTCTGATAAAGTCTTCGGGGACTTGAAAATCACTGCGTGCATTTTTTTTTAGAAATCTTGCCATCATAAACCATCTATGAAAGTTTTACAAACGGAAAGTCGATCAAATATTAAAATCGCTGTCTGAATTTGAGCTAATTGTTAAATATTATAGAAAAAACAAATAAAAAATATGTTTTTGTTAAATATTTTTCACTATCTTATATATAATTACCACAAGACGATCATAAATTTTCTGACATGTTTCACGTGATGAACGATTATAACTTATCATAATATGTCGCTTTTGTTGTTGATTACCACTGGTAGTTATATGAGTTGTTGCTTTAGGAATAGTTGATGAAGATTGATGTTGCGCTTAAAATATAAAATTTATAAAATATTTTTCTATTTTATTTTTCTTACCTGCTTCTTGTCCTGAGCATGGTTTAACAAAACTATTAGCTATTTCATCTTCTCTTTCAATTGTATCTTCAATAAAATCTTCATCTTCTTCAGCTGTTGGTACATTCACAACACTTTCATAAAGTAAAGATAATTGTTTCGCAGCTACATTAAGACTATCAGTTATACCACTAGGTAAGTCTGCAACTGATACAGCTGTGGTCGTACTAATTGCAGTTATTTGTCGATTATCATCACAAATATCTAATGATAATAAAGCTTGATTAATACTTTGTTCATCAACAGATGTTTCTATAAGAATATTAAAGATAAAAATTACATTAAATAAAATGACTTACTATCATTATTTGTGTCAGTGGACATATCTAAATTAAGTGCAACATCCACCATTTCCTATGAAATACAAACAAAACAATTTTTTTTATAATGATAGAAAACTTGTTATTTTTTTTTCTCACTCGAAATTCATCTAAACTTGATGATTGGTTATTTTCAGACGTTTCTATTTCATAATCGTTCGAATTATGTGTTTTTCCAGCCATGTTATTCGATATTATAGTTCTTTTTGATTTTTTTTTGATTATTGTTGATCAATAAAGAATGTAAAAAGAACAGAACACATACGTCAAAACAGATTACAGTTACCTGTTAATGTTCCGTATGATAAAAGAATGACGTGTTTATTAAACATGATCGATGTCGCTACTCAACATGCATGCGGACTTATATTCGCATTTCGTCATATAGGATAAAACCTATGATTTCATAAGTATATCAATGACACGATTAGATGAAATGAAACAGATTGATAATGTTCAACGTAGATGTCGAATGGCGCTTTGTTTCACTTAACTTTGATTGGTTATTGTTAGTAACGAATCTTATATATTATTTTAGCGTAATAATAATAAAACACCAAAGTTTTCATTGAAATATCTCACAGGATACCTTTGCTTTACTTTGATAACATCTTCACACTGATTGGTGTGATTTATATGCATAGAGCAGTGCGTGAGAGTGAGGGCGCTGTGACTAAAATGAACGTGTTCACACCTTATTAATAACAAAGAACATATCATCATTTTTTATTCAAAATTTCGATCATTAATCAACGTTTATTGAAATCTCTAGATTTAATCTTTTGATAACATTATAGTAAAATAAAAAATTGTGATGTTCAATCAAATTTCACGTGTTCTAAGTTTGAAATGCTTGACCATTTTGCAATGATTGAATTTTCTATACCGTACATCGTTCATCACTATGAATGATACCATTCGTTATTCTTTAGTTCCTTTCGACAAATCAATAATAATACGATGCACACGATAGAAAAATTAATTCTGTCAATATTTTATTTCAGGAAAAATCCTCGTATTGGAATTAAGTTCAAAAGGTTAACATATGTTCAATTATTGAGAAGCGATTTACTACTTTTTTCGAAGATATCAAAATGATAGTAGTGAGCGTGTACTCACAAAGATCGATGTTGAAAGTCAAATTATTATACAAAAGTGAGAAAAAAGTTTGCACTCTGTAGGGTCATGATTTCAATCAAGTTCTCAGTGCGTTCGATCGTGACAAATAAGCATGTCCAATTAATGTCTAGAGCTATTTTTGAATGTATAGTGATAAATAACGTTTGTCTATGCTAGACGTGTCCTACAAATGATAGATTCTCATACGATCAGATGCACAATATAATTCTGAATAAAATTGGTTTAATTGTTAACTTGAATAGTTGAAAGGTTTAAACAAGTTTGAATTTATGAAAAACAATAGCCGGTATCTGTTTAACGAGGGTTTTTCTCTATGTTTTCATATTTTCTATTGCAGAAATTTTGTTTTTAAATATTTTTGTTTACTAGAGACAGAATTTTATGTAGAGTCTTGTAGCATATGCAAAGTTTTCAGGCTTCAATTTTTTGAAAACGTTTTTCATATTTTCTCTTTTGTTTTTGATTTTCTCAATTGTATGAGTGAGAAAATGTTGAATCTTTTAAATCTTACAATGACAAAGAAAATTTCTTTGAAAGAAAAAGTGAACAGTTTAATAAAGAATGGAACTCTCTATCAAATGAGCTCAATGCGGCATTTGATAAGTATTGTTACGTATCTAAAAGACATGAGATAACACTCGACTGTTCATTATACGCCATCGATTAGTATAGCTTACGTCATGATATTATTATTTTGTTGAAAGAAACTAAAGATCAATGAATGATGTCATTCATACTGATGATCGACGTACAAGAATAAAGAAATCAATATTTTTAAAAGGTTAAAAAAATCAGAATTAAAATATATTCCAACTTGTATTTAAATGTAAATGTTTTTTGTATTTCTATATGATCGATTGTATTGAAACATTTATTTTACATCTTTATATTTCGATAATATTTGAAAAAGAATCTCATTCTCGTCCATAGTCATTATATTTGAAACTGAAATCGATATTAGAATTAATAGACTTCAAAATAAAAAATTCTGAAAGCTATTCTACCTTACACATAATTTAGTCTTCACTAACTTATGAAAAGAAAAAAATTACTTTATCTGAAGAAATATTCGTCGATCCTGTAGATGATTTATTTGTTAATTAATGGGAAAAAATTTTTTTTTTTTTCGTAATTATTCTATTCAATTTTTATTTAAAATAATATAAACTTCAAATTTAAAAATGTCTATTTCAATAAAAGAAAAAGAATGATGAAATATTTTTTTCTCAGTTATCACGAGCATATTAGAAAGTACACCAGGTAACACTTATGTTTATTATCTTCTTATTCGTTCTATTTTTGATGACGAAATGCAATCACATGATGATTGTGTATGTATTTAAATATTGCAATATTATTTATGTTGTAGATATTTTGTTTCTCATCTTGATTTAAGTTTCATTACACCATTGTTTACGTAAACAATGGTGTTTAAAGGAACAGCAACTATGATTGTGCGAATAAGTCGTGCAGTCCTTTCGCGTTCATTAAAACCACTATATCCTTCTCGTGTTCATGAAATAACACAAATTAATAAAAATTCTCAAGTACATCCAAAACATCCATTATGTTTCGATTCATTGTCATCTACTTATCGATCATTCTTTTCTTATCATGGGTCATTGATTGGTCGTTACCATCAAAATCTTTCGAATTTGCTGCCATATCAAACAGCGCTCAATGAACTCAAACGACAATTTTTTTTTGCTGGTTTGTATTTTTATTCTTTCTTCGTTTTTTTTATTGACTCTTTCATTCATATATAGGCATATCAGTACTTTCATTTCTTCTGCACACTCAAAAGTAATGAAAAACAGAGAGAAAAAGAAGAGTTTTTTCTGGTTGTTCTGTCGTGTAGTTGCATTAAAAAAACGAATTTATGCCATATAGCAAAGAGAAGTAGTTATAATAAAACTAACAAGAGAAAGAGAGAGAAACGACTAGAATTCTTCTTTCTTCTTCTTCTTCTTCTTGTTCTTGTTCTTCTCCCCATAAAAGAGTACATAGCACAGATCACCATTAAGCAGACCAAGACAAGTGAATGTCGTCCCCGTTCAACATTTGTATAGTAACAAAAGAGGTGAACGAACGAACAAATGAGTTTCTTTTCTTTCTCTTTTTCTCTATCAACTGGTTTGTGATCTCGAGGGAATAGAACATGCTGTGCTAAATGCCCGTCAGAAAAAGAAAAAAGCAGACAATAATAATAATGTGATGAGATGAGATGACATGCCGTACAACTGTTCTAGGTTTTTGCCCTTATCATATTCAATAGACAAACTTTGGTCCACATATTTTTCTTTATTCGGTTGTATTTATTTTAGATATTCGTTTTGTGTACTGATTTCTTTGAAATTAGTTGACCGCAAATATATATGCATATAAAGTTTTTTTTTTTCTCTTTCTCTTCTATATTTAGTATTGAGCAGTACATCAGAGTAGTGGAGCATAAATCATTGATACATTCCGTAAGAGAATATTTAAATACTATTAAGAATAAAAAGAAAATGATTTGAACTAAATAAATGTCAACTTGTTGAAATAAGAAGTTTACTCATAACTTTTAGTATATCATTAAATTGACACAGAAAAAGAAATTTCCGGTTCAAAGTGTTTTTTCTTTTCTTCCTTCCGTTTTTACAAAAGAGAAACAAAAGTAATAATTTTTTTTCTCCTAAAATGAATAAGAACATTAATATTCATATGAAATTCTATTTTGTTTGTTTTTATATTTAGATCCAACTGGTTCACGTCTTCTTTTAAGTCTTCTCGGTTATTCACTTATACCACAATCATCATTTGATACTAATCGTCTTGACGAAACTATCAATAAAATTGGTATTCTTCTATCAAAAAATACCAACGTGGATCAATTAAATGATGATAATGGCCAATATAATCGAGCATCGCTCGATGATTTTGAATTAGGTCGTTTACTTGGTTATGGTTGTAATGCAGCTGTTTACGAAGCAAGACTTCGTACATCATCAGAAAGAACATCTCACATAACAAAACAATCAGATTTTACAATTAATGATGAAAACAGTAGTGAAAGTGATATTGAAACACTTTCACGTCAATCATCAAATACTTCATCATTGTATGAAGATACATATGATAACCTTGACGATGAAGAACGACTTCATGAATTGACATTAAAAGAAGGTATGACAAAGGCTTCCTATGATATGACCAAAAATAAATTAAGGTTAAGTAAAAACTATAGGCTTTGATCATCATAGTAAAATTAATGTGATTTATCAATAAGAAAAAAAAAAACAATGAATCTTAAGAAACTTTATTACCTTTGAAGTTTACAGTTTTCTTTTAACAATTATTTGAGTTAGTTATTTCTGATGATGTATTCAAGGGTATATTTCTATGGAATTTTGCGTCAACCATTACCTTGATCTAAGTATTCAATGCAATGAATATGAATAATTATGAATCTTATTAAATATGATTGAAAGAAAAAGGACTAATTTATTTCACATATAGATAGATTATACGAAAAATTGTTTTTTAATAGCTAGACACATACTTTTGAATAATAAACAAAATGAAAAGACACATATATGATCAGATAATAATGAGAACAAAAAAGATTATGACAATGATATCTAACCATGTATGTATATTTCATTAACATATGTCTTGTTATCTTGTGTATGAACGTTTATATGTTCACTGTATTATGTCGTTGCCAGATGCTTTATCTTATTGACAGATTTAATCAATCAAAACAATTCTTAATGATTCTCTTGTAATCTAAATAATACATTGACATAGAAAATATGTAGAAACAATTTGATTCCTAAACTTATTCATATCAAATTTAAATTAATTAGAAAGAGACGATAAAATATTATTTTCGCTTGAATAGTTTCATTTCTTATCAAAAACAATTTTATTGCTTTATAATTATAGTTCGATATCGAGCGTCGACAAATATGAATACATCATCTAATATTGAATCCAATGTATTACCAAGTAAATATTTATTTGAAATTATCTATTTATAAACTCATAACTTTTATCTATTTGTAGCTGGTGAATTTAATTTAGCAATAAAAATGTTATTTAATTATGGTATTCAATCAAATGCTGAAGCCCTTGAAAGAGCCATGGATAAAGAATTATTACCATTACGTAAATGTTCTTACCATCCAAATATAGTTCGTATGTATTCATGTTTTGTTGATTCATTTCCATTATTAAGCGAAGCATATGTATATTATCCAATGGCAATACCAACAAGTTTATCACCAGATGGTTATGGAAGAAATAAAACATTATTTATTGTTATGCGTCGTTATGATTTAACATTAAGTGAATATATTCGTTTAAATAAACCAACATATCATGAACGTTTAATGCTTTTTGCACAATTACTTGAAGCTTTATTATATTTAAAACGTCATTCAATTGTTCATAGAGATTTAAAAAGTGATAACCTACTTATATGTAGTTCAACAGGTGAACTTGTTTTAGCTGATTTTGGTTGTGCTTTATATCAACCACCAAATTTAAAAGTACCTTATACAACTGATGAAATTGGTAAAGGTGGAAATCTTGCATTAATGGCACCTGAAGTGAGTTTTACATATCAAATATAATAATCACTTGAAAAATTGATTGTTATTATATGTAAATATAAAAAATTGACAGTTCTTTCAAGGCAGCAGACAATAAAACTTTGAGAACGTATGGTAGCATTTAGAAAAGCACGATATTTGAGAATAAGAAAATTATCGATTTTAATCAAAACAGAATTGTTTACTCGTCATGATTGTCTGACTACATTATTTGACAGATATATCGATAAGACACTATGTTTAAGTCTTGGTATCATCAACCACGGAATGAACTTGAAGAAGTCACTAACGGTTGTCTCTGTTGGATTATCTGTTCGATAGCATGCTGACTATAGTGTGACATATACTGTCTTATTTCTCATTTGTGAACATGAATAAAATTGTTTTAGATTATTGGTTGATTATAAAGTTGATAATTTTATTAGTTTTCTGTAAAACAATTTAATTTGATAGTTAGCTTTAAAAGAATTAATTAATGAGAGTGCATATAAAAAATAAATCATTTTACAAAATTTTAATCAAAAGTTGTTTTATTTTAAGAACAGTTATAACAATTTGTAGAGGATGTAATTTTTTTGTTTCATAAAGACTTCTGATCGTAAAATATTTGCTGCTCTGTATCGAAGACGTGAGCTTTTAACCAGCAAAAAACTTTCGACTTAAGCTGCATTGCAGTAATATCTAAAAAAAATATACATGGTATAAAGAAAAAGCTTTTTCTAAATAGTAATTATCAAGTTTTATATGAAATAAAATTATATGCATATAATAACTGGTCTTGAAAGTAATCTGTGTCTCAAAATAAAGTATTATTATCGATTGGAACTAAAATAAGGTTTTTTTGAAAGAGAACTAAATAGTGTGGATAGATATTGACTAGTTGAATGGTTTCTTATTATTGCTGATAAATTGATATTCCTAATACACAAGCAAAGCTCATCGATTTGTGTTTAGCTAAGACGGGCTTTAATCGTAGTTAAAGCAAGGTTTCGAAGAGGTTCTATCATAATTTATAATGGTAATTCAATATTTCTTATTGGTGTGCGATAGAGTACTGCATAGGTACAATTTTTCGTTAGTCTAACCAAGTACGGGTGCTCGAGCCTTGGGTTATATTATTATGAAATATCGCTGATAGTCTAACAGAACGACGAATCAACTAAGCGATCAAGGATATCGTTATTAAACAGCAGTATTAAATACACGTATTGAAATAATTTTTAGTGACTGTACTGTTAAAAATGAAGTTTGTGTCTCCATAAATCATTATTTTTCACATCCGTGCCTGTACAGGTACCCAATCCATGAGTCTCAGTACTCAAATATAAGATGAGTATATAGGTAGTTGTGTATGTGAAGAGAAAATGCATACCCACATTTACATTTCACAGCCATCTTTATTTGAACGTTATGTTTTATATTTTTGGCTTTTGTGTATAAATGCTCTGACACTTTGATTAGTTTTTGTCCATTCGATGCTTAATTCCATGTTACAGGGACAATTAGACGATGCATTCAAGATCGAGAAACAAAGCGTATTCTAAGAAAGATGTCTAATTAACTTTAGAAATTGCAGTTAGTTAAAGATAAAATTTGATGTATAAGTTTTTTTCAAATAATGATGAGCAGAATTTCAATAACTTAAAAAATGAAAACTTCAAGGTTTTGATTATTTTTTACTTAAATAGTTGAAATAAAAGAGAATCATTGAAATTGAATTAAACATTTTTTGAGTTTCTGTTTGACGTTCGCCAATGAGAAGAGAACGCATGCCAACTGCCAGAGGCGTCCATGACAATGCTGTCTCTATTGCTATGGATACCTCTGCATCTATTCTTTTGATTAGTTAGTGTGTATAGGGAGTTCAAGAAATTTAGTGCAAGGGCTCTATCTCAGGTTGGTCTTCTGTGTATAGTTACGGCTAGTATTAGTTGTAGAGAATATATTGAACTACTGGATCTGCTACTAGGTAGTACTTCATACCGAAAAATAGGAATGTTCTTATTCCTTTTTGTTTTCTACTCTTGAAAATTATATTTGGACTTACTTCTATCTGCATATCAGTTTATTGAAAGAGACAAATTTAATAAGACATCTTATATATGATGCATGATTTCCTACTTTGATATTGTTAAATTAGATTATATCATGTCAAGCTGGTCCAAAAAATTATCTGGATTATAATAAAGCTGATCTTTGGGCAAGTGGTGCTTTATGTTATGAATTTTTTTCTTTACCAAATCCATTTTTTCATGGTTCATTCCGACAAGAAACATATAATGATGAACAATTACCAACACTTCTACCTCTAGTATCTCCACTTATTGAAAAACTTGTTCATTCTATGTTACGAAGAAATCCTAAAGAGGTATTTATATATACATTTGTTTTTCATTCGATTTTTATCTTAAATATTTCGTTTTTCTTAGCGTCCATCGGTATCTCGTGTTTGTAATTGTATTCATTTATATCTTTGGTTTCAATCAACAACTTTAAAAATGAATAAAAATGAATTTTATCATACATATATGTGGACAGCATTAGAAACATTATTTAATAAACGTACATTATCATGTGTTGAACTTAATTTAAAAAAACTTTTCTTTCAACGACAATGTTCTCAATCATTATATGATGCACAAACATATCTTAATCAACTTTCAATATAAATTTAAAAATAATCAAACAAGTGTATTTTATTTTTTTATATTCTGTTCTGTACATTAAAATAAAGACAGAAAAAAGACTAAGTCAGATGGTTTCTTTTTCTCTTGAATTAGTTAAATTAAAGATATTTATTTGATAAAAAAAAAAGAATGTTTTTATTTAAATAAGTAATTCTAGTACATATACTTTTTCAAAGGCCTTGAAAATGTAGCTCGCGCTCAAGTTGAATAACCGTACAACATGGACAAAATGTTGAAACACAACAATCTTCGCATAAATCACCCTAAAAAGAAAATCAGAGTTTATTTTCTTCTGTTTAGTACTATTGAGTTTATTTGTTAGTTCAAAGAAATCATATCCTATTTCATACTGTCTACTGATTTATTCCATGAATCACTTGGTGAAAGCCAAATACCGAAACATGCAACTGTGTAATAGTCTAATGAAATCAGATTGACAAACATAAAGATGCCTGATATCTAGTAACAAAACGTAATTAACAATAGATTTACTGATTATATATATGGAGCAAGAGAGTATTATGGTCAATAGAGTCTCCAACGGATGTTGATAAGTTAACGAGAATGTAATATCTTTTCCAGTGGGAAGGATTTATATAAATTTATTTCGTTTTTAAAATATAAGAGCAAGTCAAAGTGAATATATTACCGAATCTACTACTGTTAAAAGCCCTGAGAGTTTCATTTAGACTTTTAGATATTAAATTCTTGTTAGTTATTCAAAAACTTTCAATGTATTACAAAACCATCTCAGAGATACTACATATATTTATTAAATCTTTTTTGCAAGGTTGAGATCTAAACTTATAAAGATTTTTTTATTCTATCTCATCACAGTATAAGATCGTTCTTGCTTAAATTTCTATTCTAATTACATAAAAAATTTCTAATCCCATTAGAGTCCGACTTGAGTTAAAATAACTTGACTGATGCCGAATTTCATATAAGAAAAACAGCAATTCTATATAAGATTTTTTAAGGAAGCTTATATTGATTCATCAAAATGAATGCTTATTCTCTGAAATAGTTGAGACTTTGATTGACCGAAAAGTAGAGTCTGTCGGATTCAAAGTTTTTGATGCCGGACCCAATCGAACCATATTGTGATAATCTCAACGAAACTTTCTAACTGAAATAGGATAGTCGCCTCGAAAATACAAGATACTTTTTTTTCGATTTTTTGTATTCAGTGAATAGCATATTCTACCCATTTCTCAGCTGACTAGAAGCAATCAAGTTCAAAATTTTCGGATTCTTACTCAAACGAGTCTGTTCCAGGTTCTGTTGGACTCAAGTAATGGCCAAAGCCAATCGGATTGAATCTCAAAACCTTAGCCCATATGAGACTCTTTGTTACAAAATAGTACTCTTACCTAATTAATATCCTGTCGTATATATTGTATTCTCGAAGTTAATCATTCAAAAATTACCTCAATACGAAATGCCGTACGCATTTTTGATCGAAGTGCATATCTTGCGCCAGGAGTCAGACTAGTCCACATACTTTCACCGGCACGTTTAAACAATCTACATTCGAAACAACATGGACAACAGAAAGCAAAACAACCTAACAACAACAGTCAAAATACATTATTTTCAGAATTAAATCAATAATATTTACATTGGGGAGTATTTGTACAACATGAACAAAGTTTACTCGACCATGGATGTTCAAAATCCCAAACATTTCTTCCAGGTTGTGTAACAACAACATTTCTAGAAAAAAAATGAATATTTATTTCAAGTAAATATGTTTTTTTTTATATTAACATACACATGAGCCATTTTTTGACGCGTTATAATTTGGTGATCAGTTAAATGAGGACTCTCTGGTGGAACAACATGTGGAGATTGTAGAAACCGAATTGGTTCTGAAGAACGAATAAAAAATCTTGTCTTTATATGTATAATAATTGATTGAAATCAAAGAGAAAAATATATTTTTTTTCTCTGTTTGAGTTTTCCTTTTATGTTCATTCATTTCTATTTTCTGAAACGCCATTTAAAAAGGAATGTTCAAGGATAGAAATACAGACTTGACTGCTTTTATCGTTACATAAATATCAGAAGAGATTTCATTTTGTTGTGAAAGTTCTACCAACTGCTACCTCATTACAATTGTGACAATGTTTAAGTATTAAGTGACCTAGAAATATGAAGCCTGACATAAAAGTCGAACTTTGAAGTTCATTTTTTTCTTTCTATTGGCTATAGTAGACTTGTACAAATTGAGAAACCTTTCAGTTGGGTTAAACAATGATTTCAAACAAGAAAACATTAAGCTTATCAGTTCTTATAAAGAAATTATATTTCTATGCAACAAAGTCGGGCAAATAAAGCATAGATATTGTTGAATATCAGTCATTGTGAGTTAGTAGATGAAAACTTTTGAAAGAATTCTTCATTCGTTCTTAGTATTAGCGTCTATGGAACGCAACAGACTAGAATAGCAGTTACTACTATTAGAAACTTCAACAGTTATCTAAGTTTCACCTTGTATATCTTCGTGAACTTGGAACTAATAAACTTTTTCTCAAAAAAATTTAATAGGTCAATTGACATGTATAAATGTACTGAGTTTTCATCGATGAATTCTTAATTGAACGGACTGATCTAGTTGAAAAAAATTCGACCAGTTTCAAGTCAAAACGATACTCCCTCCTCCGCATGACAGGTATCTTATCAGCACTTTCTCCCCCTTCTTCCTAAGTAACAGACGACCGTATATCATTAACGTTTCGTTACAATATATGAACTACTTTCTTATTGCATTTCTGGAGGATTAAGTAAAACGATAGTGAAAAAATGTGACTTGAAATAAATCGAATAAAACAATCTATCTATGATTAGCAACAACATCTATATCGTGTTTCATATTTTAATCCCATAGAGATTGGCCTAACAGTTTTTTCTCATGCAAAGTTACTATTAATTGACGATAATCGTTGACAAAACGTATATTTTATAGTAACTTGAAAATAAATAGAACAAAATTATAGTTTCCATTCAGGAGAAATTTGATATATGTATATATGTAACATACCACGATGGACATAATTTGCCGTCATTGTTGAAGCAAATTCAGCACCTATTAGTTGTTTTTCTGACTGCTCAAATTAAGGTCTTCGATGTTTTATACTCTAAAAGAATTTCTTATTTTTTCTTTTTCTCACTTCAAATATATGATGATTGCTTTAATTTCTTCTTCTTCTTCAATCAACGTTGTCGTTTGACTTCTCTCTCTCTCTCAAAATATTAAGCGTTCGTTTGTTACGGACATACGTTCGTTGGTTCTTATCAACGGCATTAACACAATAGAACGTTATTTCAATCTTTTAAATTATTCTTTCGGAATAACTTCAAATGCTTTTTCTTTTCTACCTAACAAACAATTTAACTATCTAACAAAATGAGAAAGAAGAAAGTTTTTTTATTTCTATTGGCAATGCATTAACGCAATTAAAAGATTCACAAATGTCTATCAATATCTGGTAGGAGTTCTAAAAGTGCTGGTAGAAGATGTCAAATATGAATATGATTTCATAATTAGATGTTTGTTTAAACAAGAAAAACAGAACGAAAGTTCTTTCTTGCACCAGTAATTAACGTTTTATTTTTTGTCAATCATGCAACATGTAATAGTACTTTTTGTGTTGCGTACTTTGAATATGACATTCTGTATGTTTTTGTAGTATATTTTCATTATTAAGATGTGAAAAAAAATTTGTTTTTTTTAAATGTCTGTCTGACTTTTTTAATACTTCTTTTTATTCAAGCTTTTTTATATTGTTAAACATTGTGAAAATTTTATTTTTGTCTATGAATGGTAATGTTAAACATTGTTAATTCCAGAGAATTGATATCATAATGATTCAAGTAGCTTTGTGTTTGGTTTTCTAATTCAGTGTTTTTGGAATTTTCGATCTTTTATTTGATCATCTTCAGCTAAACTAGTAAACATTGACAGATTTTATAGTCTCATGAACATACACTTGGCAACGTTAACAGAACTGATTTTATAACAAAATGATGAGTTCAATATGCTACTACTAATGTTCGAATTTTCAACGAAATTTTCAACAATTTTCATGAATTCGATGTAAATATTCGAGAGAATTGATATCATAATGATTCAAGTAGCTTTGTGTTTGGTTTTCTAATTCAGTATTTTTGAAATTTCGTTGAAAATTTGAACATTAGTAGTAGCATATTGAATTCATCATTTTGTTATAAAATCAGTTCTGTTAACGTTGTCAAGTGTATGTTCACGAGACTATAAAATCTGTCAATGTTTACTAGTTTAGCTGAAGATGATCGAATAAAAGATCGAAAATTCCAAAAACACTGAATTAGAAAACCAAACACAAAGCTACTTGAATCATTATGATATCAATTCTCTCGAATATTTACATCGAATTCATGAAAATTGTTAATTCCATTTAATTTATATTATATCTAATTGTATTAATGATTGAAAAGAATTTTCAAAAAATAAATTTATTACTCTTATTGATCATTTTTATTTTCATACGGGCGACGATTTAGATTTAAATAGCGTGACTTTTCTTTGAATTTACTAACTGTTAATATCAAATAGTTTTTCTAAAGATTTTTTTTCCTACTAGCTTCAACATCAGTATTAGAGATATTAATAAGTCAGAGTTTTTGCATATAAACTGGCCACAGTAATAATTTGTTCATCGATTGAATCTTTTTAGAACAAGTTAACGAATCGAGTTCAATTGATTAAAAAAAACATTTTCAGAGAATAAAATCGTTTGATTCGAAACCGCAAATTCAAAATATTGCGTTTTCATGACTCATTTCTCTGTAATCACTACTAATAGTAGTTCATTGTTCTTTCAAAAAGTTATTTTTGATAGAAATTAATAATGATGAGAAACCCATTTGAGAATATATTACATTATATGCATCATAATTAAATGCATAGAAAGTGCGAGTCAACTTGAAAATCAATGTCTTTTTCATAAAAATTAGAGTAGATATTTGGAAAAGGAAGTGCTGAACTATATTGTGCAGAAAAAAACAGAGTGTGCATTTAGTAGTAATATAGTAGCATGCAACAGGCTTGTTGAGTTATGATGAAACTAACATGAATTCTTGATTTTCATATGTCATTAGTTAATTCTATAAACTTTTACATTCATACCGAAATATATCTATAATACAGAAATCGTGCTTATTTAATCGTTTTTTTGTGTCTATTAAAAAATCTGTTTGAAGCGTAATTCAAAATTTGTGATTTATATTTGTGTATTTTCTAATCTATAAAGTTTGAAATAAAAATGACATTTGTTGAAAGATAAAGAATTTACTAGTCAGATTTACTTAATGAATATTTAACTTACAAATCAAAGAAAGACAAAAAGCGACTTAAATCTAGCTTGAATTCGATTAAAGAAAAATTTTCTTTCATATTAATGTCAAAATAGCTTTATATTACACATATCAATACATAGAAATCTTGTAGGACAATTTCATTTAACTCCGTAAACTTGATTTTCTCTTTATAAATAATATTAATTTAAATTTTATTAATAATAGACAAGCAAAATTGAGCATTTCTTCATCATTATTACTATAAAATAAGATCCATTGATATAAGTTTCAGCAGAATTTACAAATATAAATTTTTATAAAAATATCGAGCAAAATAAAAATACAAGCCATCTTTTATTTAACAAATTATTTTCTTTATTGTTTTGGAGCAAAAATTCCACATAGCAAAATGAACGCAACAGTAATAAGCAATATAAAAGCAACGTAAGTAGCAACCATCAGACCAAAAGCACTAGAAAAAACTGTAAATAGACAATAAGTTGATGCATTGGAGTCTGTCCATTGAGCATCTTTAAAATTTCCATATACTCGAATTTGTATAAGAATAAAAAAGATAGTAGCACATGCTCCAAGTATCGCTGTTATAAAACCTAGATACAATTAATAGAAAATAGAACTAATATAAATAGAAAAATAGAATAATTTACCAACGAGAATTAGTGCTGCACGATTACTTCCTTTGGTATTATCTTCTGTGGTAGGTTTTGATTTTTGCTTTTTATATTTTGATGGTGTAACTGCGCAAAGAAAACCAAAACTTGCTGCAAAAAACAGCACTTCAAATACACCACCAATAGCCATCAACAACATAATATCATTTTCTATTGGACATACTTTAGTTTGTTTTATATAATGGAAACCAAATGATAATTGAACAATAGGTATCACGAGAGTGGCAAATATAAGACATCCAATTAGGATTTGTCGCCAAGACATAATAAACTTCTTATATAAATATTTGATTAAATTTCAATCTAATTTTTTTTTGCTTCGAAATCTTTGTATGAAACTAATCTATATGATTCATTCAGCTTTTCACGTTCTTGCTATTGCTGCAGCACTTCTTATGGCTCTTTTTTTTGCTATTTCAATGTCACCTAATAGTAAATTTTTTTTTTCTTCTTTTTTTTTTCATCAGCGTTACCGTCGTTCTCTTGTTGCTTTTTATTGACGAGTTTATTTAGTCGCTTCTCTTCCAAACAGCCCACACAATACAGGCATTATGGCGCACAACATTCGATAGTTGACAATAATAAAAAAAAAGAAGGAAGGAGAAAAACAAAACCAAGATGTTTACGCATATCCACAGCAATGGAATTTTGGAAAAAAGAATTTATCAGCGGAAATAATGGTGGCAAAAAAAATTCACATTATAATAGAATCCATCACCTTACATGTATCACAGGATAATATTTAATCTTCTTTCACATAATTATCTATTTCGACTGTATTTTCTCCTACATTTGCTTCACCCGTATTAGCTGAAGTTGTTAATGTTTCATTCACATCAAATCTTCCAATTTCATCGGGATTATAACGAGCAATAGTCATCTGCTCAGGATATAGCCATGGTTTATGCGAAGGTTGATTTTTGGCTTTCCATTTATCATATTTTGTACAAGCTTTAGCTAATCTTTTCATTATCTATAAAGAACTTCTTTTTCTTTCAGTTTTTTTTTCAAAATTAAAAGATCTTACTTTCGGTGCTAGTACTTTCGAAATTTTATTCACAAGCCAAACTGGTAAACTACCTAAAAAAACAAAAAAAGAGTCAATCTTATTTCAAAAAAAAAACTTTTTTTTTTTATATAAGCCAACCTCCAGGATCAGATTGTGTCATATAATAAAATGTACATGAGGAAGGTCCTGTTGGTATAATTAAATAACCTGTTAAATAAGATATTCCACGAATGCAATTTTTGCGTGGTAGTTCGCGCTATGCATTTATATAATGATAAATAAAATATTAACTAAAGAAAAAACATACAAGATGATTGACAGAATGATTAAGAACATATTTTTCACTATTCCGTCCTAAATCTAGCCAACAACGTTGTGTGACAAAATCACGATTTTTAAATGGCGGTGGACTTTTAACTAATACAAAAAAAAAACATATTAATTATTCAATCAAACTTATTTATTTATTTCCTACTTGAATAATAGCCTATATCACTGTTTGGTAGAACAGAACAAATTTCATAACCTTCTAACATAGCTGTATCCCATGTTTGACGAAATTCGCTATCATGAATAACATCATAAAGTAATTCACTTGATATACCTTGAAATTCTGATTGAACCTAAAAGTATACGTATAGAATTAATTTGATTTAATTAAGTGATTAATTATAGAAAATAATTTTACACGAAGAACATCAAATGGTGATAAAGAATTTTTTTTTGTAGCTACACGACATGATGATTTATCATAACATGTAGTCCATCCTTCATCAGTTGTACAATCAATTTTAAATTGACGAAAATCTTGATCATCTGGTAAAAATATGTCACCAACCTTCATCACTTTTTCGTTTTTTTCTTATGTCTGCAGAAGTACACACAATAGTAGACTATGCTCGACGTGGCTTGCTCGCTGCTCATTGGTTCCGTCTTCATACAAAGCAAAAATGCGAGAGAATTGATCACTTCTTTATAATCAAAACATGGTCTCTTCTTCATTGATTGAAAATCAAAAACATCATCGTTTTTTTTTTCGGATTAATCATAAGAATAGATCAGTATTATATGAGAAAATTCTTTGAGTACTAGTTTATCTTTCATTTTTATTAAAATTAATGTGTATTAGAGACATCTTTTGGTTTTACTGATTATTATTATGTGAAATTGACATATATAATTTTGTAACGTATCTCTTACACAAAACTGTAACGTACACATTATTGTTTATTAGTGTTATTGTGACACATTATTATTATATGATGAAGGATTGATTATTATGTATCCATATCTGTACTTCATCAAAATAAATGCGTAAAATATTAATTAGGCATTGCTCATATTATTGATTTATGATAATTTCAATCAAACAATTGACAGATTGTTAACAATTAACACTTAAATGAAACAAATAAAAGATTTATAAATAAGTTTGATTGTGATAAATAATAATTTTCATGTTAAAATAAAAGAAAAAAATACTTCGTGTTTATTTGACCTTTATTACAGGCTTTCTATGATAATAACACTATTATTATCTATTTCTTACAAATTATAGATGAGATAATTAATATTTTAGTCAAAAAGATATTTTGTGTTTGTTCTAAAGATACATATCTTCATAAAATACTTTTTAGTTTATAAAAGAAAATTGAACAAAAATACCTTTGATTATTTTCAGCATACGTTTTAATGGCTACTTCTACTATTTTGAAAGACTTTGTTAATTGCCATTGAAGAGTATGTTGTTTTATATTGTTTGCCTCTTCTTTTTTTCTTTTTCATTCTGCTTTTTATCTTCTCGTTTTCATTTTATGAGTATTTATATTTGTATTCTTCTTTTCTTTTTTTCTTTTCTTACATAATAATACATGTGTCTAATGATACTGCAGGTAGTATCATTTTTTCATTTATTGTAGACAATTTTGACACTTGAAGCGTTTTGAATACTTTGACATTTGATTATTCAAGAAAAAAAAATTATAAATTAGAATATTTATGTCGACAATTAGAATGAAAGAAAAAGTGTGAATTTAATGAACAATAGTAGGTTGATATATCAATCTACATAATTCATTAAATATGATAAATATGCTGCACATCGGAGTTATCAATATATGTGCACCAGATGAATTATATCATTGACATAATCTTATGCAATGAATTTTTTATTCAATTAGTTATTATCAAGAGTTGAATAGATACAATGATTTTAGAGTAAATATTTAATTATTCAAAAGATCGACAATATCTTTCTATTAAAGATGTTAGATCATCAATGGTTACATTTTATTTTTTTTATCAAATAAAAGATTCAGCATTGTATTTGATTCTTTTGTGATTGAAATAATTTTAGTTTTATATCTGATTATCTAGATTGAAATATCTAACCAAGCAACATATTTCTTTTTCAAACTAGAACAATTTTTAATCCTTTTTTTGATATTAAATAATAAATAGAATACATCGGTACTACTATCCTAGTGTTTTACTTTGATTAAATAACCATACATTATATATTTCAATAGCATCTGTTAAAAACACTACTATGTTAGAGACTACTATTGTTAAGCACTTCAGCATTCGATGAATTGACATTGTGTATTGATACATCATTAAGAAAGAAAGTAGCCCATATGAATGTAAGTATACTTTACATGCAGAGGTACATACGAGCAATTGATACAGTAGCATAGTACTGGTATACATATCCAGTTTGAGACACATAGCATGATTTACTTATATTTACTAGTTTTGGAATGTCATATACGTTTCATAATAAATGAGGAAGAATCGCGTGACCATGTCGTGTGGTAGGAGTGTTCATTCTCTGGTCAAAATAATGCCTCGAAAAAAAAATCATTAACGTTGTTAAGGGACATATTTTGGCTCTTTTATAACAGACATACTTCTAGCCACAGATGTTAAACGATAGGTTGACCGTCAACGTAATTCTTTTGGAAAAATTAAATTTTCTCGAAAATAATCAATGTCTACACTATCGACTTTATTAAAAGTTATTCAAGCAATTGACGTCAAGGATTCTCTTAATCAACATTCCATTGTCAAATCTTGTCATGTCAGCTAATCAAGTATTTCAAGGATCATAAAATTTGTCATCTTCACTCTTCGAAGAAAAAAATAAAGTTAATAAATTAACGTCGACTTTACCGACAATGGGCTGAATGTCACTACAACAATTCCATCATGGCTAACGAATGTTGGTTATATTTCGACGGCTCTGAAGGAGAAAGAAAAGTTTGTTGTAAAACAAAGATCGATTTAATAAAACTTTAGCGTACTTACCAAGACGAGTATGTCTTATATTTAAAACTCGTAGCTTTCATGTAGAAGATCGTTTGAAATTATAACGCTTTTCTTTCGTCTATAATAATAAAAAGAAAACTAGTAAAAATAGGTGAATCATATTGTATTTGATATAATTGTTATATATCACAAAACTACAATCAAACTTGGCTATTAAGCATGATCAACAGAAGAATCTCTTATTGACAGAAAAAATGAGACAACCATCACGATTAGATTTCCTTATTTTCAGATAAAAATGAATAATGTATTGTTGAGATTGTATAGAATATAAAACGAAATTATTGAGTGCTTAGTTTTTTGGAAAAAAATTTTCTCGCATCCATTCAAAATCGAATCGATCTATTTCAATAATTACATTTTGTTTCTTGCAAAACATTTCTCAAGCATCATTATCTTTTTATATCATATAACATGCTAAAAATTGTATCAAAAGAAGGAAAAAAAGATTTTCTTGTGAATGAAATCTCAAGTGAATTGTCTTATTCATCAGTAGAAAAAAAACTCATTATAAGTGATTCTAGTGAGAACCTATGGGGAATGTACGAATTGACACAAGTTTAGTTGAGAAAAATATCTATCGTCACCGCCCAATATCAATTATAACCGATCATTGCTTCGTTTGTTATTAGGATTTTCGAAATATTTAGCAACATGAATATTCCATAGAAGAATAAAGTGAATTTCAATCAACAAGGACTTATTAACATTTTTGAAGTTAGAAAGCGATTCTTTAGCTTTCGTTAACGTATTGTAAATAATTCACAGTGACAATAGAGGTTATTATTGTATCGATTGAAATATTGATTAATGATGTAGTGATAGTTATTGTCGTTACAATCTCAGTAGTTACAATCAGAAATGTAATAAATAGATTCCAAGAACTAAGATTCGTTTTTTTATTTACTTATCAAATAATGTCTACAGAGTTAATTTGACTAACTTATGCAAATGAAAATCCTGTGTATGTGAGCGAGAGAAATGATGACAAATGTTCGAAACCAAAAGTCAAATTTGATAGAGTTTTTATTCATAGACTATCAACTGTAGAACAAGTGTCTAAAGTGAAGCAAAAGTTGGAATAACTATAACCGGAAAGTTGTTTTTCATGATTTAATAGGTTCACAATCCGTATTTTTTGCTGATTGTATTGTTATGAATATTCTTTTTAAGACAAAAAGGAGGTTTCAAATGCAATGCCAATCAATAGCGTCTGCAGGATCGATTGTTTTATCTACAAAGAGGATTAGGATGACACTAAATATCATCCTCGATTGACCAATTTATTGAAACATGAATCGATCAATTGGCACGGCGACAAACTATTGATCGACTTGAATTTATTGACTCTATTATCATTTCGATCTGTCGCTATTTATAAAATCCATTACATACTCGTCTATTCTCTAAAATGTTGTACTTATCAAAAATGGATTGATCACATTCATTGCTCTTTGCATAAACAGATTCATTATTGTTATTTGTTGAAAAATAAGATACTTTGTTGAGCAAATCATGCACGTATACAAACAAAGAACATTCATAATCATTCTGCAAATGAAGATAGAGAACAATATTAAATAATTTATTTTGTTGTAATTGTGACCAAATAATAAGTAACAAAATGAATTGTATCAAAAGAAACTTTAGTAGAAAACAAAAACGAAAAGATTTATCATAAGACATAAAACAAATACAATAAATACATAATTGTTTTTAAGACGAACTTTGGTTTCATTTTATAACATATATGCAGTCGATCACTTACATTTACGAAAACAGTTTCGTTTATCGACCAGGTATAATTTTTGATGTCACTAATTTGATTATTAGTATCGTTGTTTCAACTCTCGAAACACAGTTAACTATTATACATTAATCTAGTACCAAATTAGAAAAATCTAATACAAAATTCTGAGCTGTTTTTTTCTGCGCACAATCTATTTGATGCAAAACTCGAATGAAAATTTGAATATTTATCGAAAAAAAATTCCCTAGATACAATAAATTGAATCATTCATTCTTTTTCGATTATTTATCGATTATTGTTATTTTTGTTTTATTTCAATATTCTATTAAATGAGATCATATATTTCACAACTACGTACATCAAGATCCTATTTTGCTTGGATGTAAGTATTACAAATGTGTTCAATAGACATCCTTCGAATTCTATATAATAAATGTAAAATAAGTTTCTGGAAAAAATCTTTTCATCTTCATTTTCGAGAACTTATCAAATTTGATATTAATATTTTAGAGCTGGTATATTGTTAAGTATTGCCTTGACATTATTCATCATAAGTCATATTCATGTCCGTTGGAGTGTTTTTCCATTCGCATATCGAAATATTGGTTCAGTTTATAGTGGTTTATGGTATCGACATGCAGTTTATAGTGGAAGATTAGTAAAATTTAGAATAACATGTGCAAATGAAAGATTGCCATGTATTAAACTCATTCTAGCACGGTAATAAGAACAAAAAAAAACAGCTTAATTGAATAAACATAAAAGCCTATATTTTTAGTATCTTTATGGTTATGGCTTGTATTACATCGAGTATTGGAGTTATATGTCTTTGTATTATTTCTATCTTTAAAAATTTCTATAAATCTATTATGTATATCGGTGGATTCGGTTTGGCTTGTCTGTAGGTTTCTTTTGTTTTCTTTTTGTATATTTATTTGTGAGAATATCAAATTATTTATTTAGTTCTTTCATATTCGGTTTAACGGGCTTTCTATTTGGACTTGGTTGGATTATTCAATTTGAAAGAGATAAACTTGGTAGTGCTGCTATCTGTGCTTTAGTTGGTTCATTTTTTTCACTTGTTAGTGGCATTTGTGCTTTTTTTATTAATTCAAAAGAATCTATCTAATTTGTTTGTTATGCAATTATGCATGAAAAAATTTAAATAAATTACAGAATTCATCTATGAATGTCAATCGTCAACATATTTTTTATGGACCGTATAGGGTAGATTATGACCTTATGATTATCGACAACATCAGTGTGATATTGTATTATTTCAGATATAATTTTTATTCCATCTAAGATTGAATGTTTTGAACGTCCAAGTTAAAGTATTAAGATAGATGAACACAGACTTTTCTAAAAACTGAACATACGTGAATTAACCATTTCATGGTTTTTAAGATTTCGTAATGTAAGTATCTATGTGAATGAAAGAGAAAAATGAATATATGATCGATGATTATAGGACATCTTTCATTTTATTATCTTGCAATTCATTCGCTGGATATTATGCATCTTAACTGTCAATATGATAAATATAAAAAGTGTTTTATCTAGATTTTCTCTTCTAGGAGGGCGAAAACTTATTTCTGGAATCATAAGCGTATATACAAGGAGTTCTAAAAGTTCAAATGAAACAAAAACGTAAATAACTCCTCAGCGCTTCAAGAGATTAAGATATTTTTACAGTTTGATCACATATTCACTAAAGCTTTCAAATAAAATGTCTGTGACTACAGAAGTCAGAAACAAATGGTTTTATTCATGATCAAACTCGAATAAGTCATCATTGTAAAACGGTAACTACAAATTAAATTTGTAAAAAAACCATGCCAACTAAATATTGTATTAGCAACAAGATTTCATCGATAGTGTAAGATTGGTACTGTCAAAAATCGATGACATTTTGAAAGATCCTAGAGCAATCTATGCAACTCTTTGTCATAGAACTGTTGAACAAATTGTATTTTGTATTACTTTAATAAGAGATGTTCTGTCATAATCCGATATGTTGTTGTTCGTGATGAGCAACCATGTGCAAAAGATCGAATACTTAACCTGAAATCATTTTCACGAGCATTCTTAACTTCATTCACTGTTTCTTCGGTAATTGCGGGATTTTTGGCAGTATTGGTTTCGAAAAATCACTGAAATGTAGTTCTGATACAGGATTCAATTGGTCTGTTTTTACCGAATTCGACTTGTAGCTTAGCTGATTCGGATTTCACCATCGGTAAAACTATTTCAATTCTGACTTCTGTAGACGTGGACATTTTTTCTGAACACTTTAACGAATATGCAATTAAATTGTCCAAAACCAAACATTTAAATTCTTTAAATTGTTGAGAAAGCTATTCATGTTTTTTCTCTTCATTCAAACTTTTGGAATACTTTGTAGTATATGTCACAGTAACTACAAGGTTCGGAAGGGGCGTCGCTCTTTACACGGGATATAAATGTAAAAGAGGTGAATAGAAATGGAATAGATTAACTAAATATTACTCTCCTTGACTACCGATTTGATTGTCTTCTAGATTAAGTGTCGTAAATATCTTTATTACTTGAAGAAAAAGAAAGAAAATCGCTTTTCGATGACGTTGCAACATAGAGTGTTATTCACAGACAGTTTCATAATCTTGATATCTGTTCTAAAATTAATAATAGAAGTAAGTCTTAAAAAAGAAGGTTAGTTTAACTTTGAGTTCTTCTAATCAATCACTTAAGTTTCTCATATGCACATATTAATCATATGCAGAGTCACACGGGCAGGTATGTCACTATGTAATTAGCATGCTATCGGACGATTGCCTCAAAATAAACATCTTTGAATGACTTATTCAGGGGCATTTTATATTAGTTACACTTAAATTCAAACACGATACGTGACGGGTATGTACTGAACACCTTCACTACTTAACTATAAAAGCTTAAGATGAAGAAAATGAATATGGAATGGAAAAACAAAGAATTTGTTTAAATGGGTTAGATCATATATTGATCCTATTCATATTCTTAAATCTAATCAATTTTACGGCAGAAGTAACATTCAAACTTAATTATAGAAGTTAAAAGCTTAGAATATTTTGTTCACTATCATGTTTCGATTAAAATACATCCACACAAAAGGTTTTTTGTTTTTTCTCAGTCTAACTAATGTTTACATTCTACAAGTGCTATCTTTTTTTAAAGGAATTCTATCATATCAATTCTTTTCAATAAGCATCATATTAATAATGATCTCAATATAGTGTTACACGTACTTAAAATACTTGCAAACACCTAAATATAGATTAAAACGATTGTATTATAATTTCTTCATTCTTTATTCAAATGATAAATGCATTTTCTGAATAGTCGATTTGTCAAATCAAATAGAATGACACAACTTATAATTATCTACATTTTCTTTCTATGGTAAACATACTATTATCAAACGTCATGACTTCAAATGATTTTTTTATTCATAAAATATTGCATACAAAATTTCATATAATTTACTAACATTTTTCTTATTGAAAAAGTTTAAAATAGAAATTATATGCATACTGAATCACAAAAAAAAAACCTATTTTATGCAGTACAAAAGGTCATTTCTTTTTTTGGGTATTCTCAATTTTGATGTAAGAACGAAGTGCAAAAGTAAACTTCTTTTTTTCTACGCACACCTATATAATTTCTCTTTCGTTCGATCGTTTGTCTATATTTGTCATTCATCACGCCTATGTATGCGTCCTTCAGTTTGTTCTTCATGTAACCAAAAGTTTATTGCACACATGCACAATGTAAAATCGGATCTCATGTTTTTTTTTCTTTTCTGGCATTTTGCATTTTTGTACTAGTTTTTGTTTCAACTGCCGTTATTGCCACAATCACACTTACTCTTAACTATGCCACTTCATTTTTTCTTTTTTTTTTCTATGTCACCAGCGTGTAAAAGGTAAGAGTAGTATACACACTAAAGCAGAAGTCCTAGAGAACAGAAGAAAAAAAACGAGAACGAAGAAGAAACAGAAAGAAGAAAAAAATGAACATGCATCAAATTCAAGGCTGTACTACTCGAGACTTGGTGATAGTAGGTAGTTGCACATTGACAAATTGTGTAACAGAAGAAGAAAACAGTATAATATATAAAAAGGTGAGATGACTGGCTTGCTTATCATCGACAATCATCATCCAACATTTTTGAAGTTATTTTTGATTGATAATAATATTCATTGATAGATAAAAAGAAGAAATTTGTTAAGTTTAATTAATTTTTTTTTTCTACGAAAATAATTTTAAAAGTCATAGATCAAGGGGCACAAACTTATTAAAGTTTTTTTTTTATATTTCGATATTATACAAAATAGTTATATCCGATCGTGTTTTTAAATTACTCTTCCTATTTGTGAATGAATTTCATAAAAAAGACTTATCAGATTAAAAAATTTCCGCTTAGATTTACATAATTAAATAGGATTCTTTTTTTCTTAAACATTGAAAAAATTTAATTATGATTATCATTATTTCTTCTTTCCAGATCTATAATAAAACATGTCGTCTAAAAGTAAACGAGTTACATATAAACATCCGATTGATGAAAATACTGATTATCTTGTCCCGTTAAAATCCGATTATAATATGTCCATGCCAATAAAAATAAAATTTTCTGAAAATACTTCTTCACCTCCTCCTTTGCCGCCGACTCCAAATGGATTTTTTAGTTCAATTTATTTTGTAATTTCACTTCTTGTTTATGTTACAATACCGATCACACAACTTGTTATTGGTCTTATTTATATTGGTAAATGTCCTGTTCAAGAAATGATTGTTGTTTGGATGATTGTTAGTGGTATTTTTGGTATTTTGTTAGCAATTATTGGTATAATTATTCATGTAAAAGTTCGTAAGCAACCATTATCATTGTCACCATATGATGATCATCAGTCATATCCATTAATTATTCGAATTCTTATGCCAATGTTTATACTTATTCTTTTATTTATTGTTGTTTGGTTTTTTGTTGGACAAGTATTTATATTTGAAGTGAAATTACGTGTAGAATTTTTTGATCCAACTTTACCTGAATATTGTCATGGAAATTTATATAAATCTGCTTATATTCTTATTTTTATTGATTATCTTATTTTTCTTCTTGTTATTATACTTAATGTACTTAGTTATGTAGCACCACCAGATGAAAATGATAGTAATAATCATGAAAAAAAACATCAAATGCATAAAATAAGCACATGATGAAATACGTTTGTTTTCTTTTATTTGTATAGAAATAATCTATATTCTTTTTTTATTGGATATAATAAAAATGAACATAATCATTTTTTTTATATGAAATCAATAATAGACAAAAGAAGAAAGATTACATTCGGGAGCATTATTTCTTATCTATTGCTATTCATTCTGTCAAAAAAGCGGATGATTTAATGCGAGAGATAAAACAAAAAAGAAAAGTATAAGACTTCTTTGAAAATAGCCGTCATAATCAGTGATTTGTTATGTAAGATAAAGCAATACAAGTCTTAGCTAAGAGTGTCTCCCTCTGTTTTTCTTTGGCCATTTCTGGTTCTCTAAAAAGATGCTACGGATCTACATGAAATTTTTACCACTGATAGAGCATATAAAACAAGGAGATATATGATCCAGGAAAAAATTTTAAACAAGGTTTTCATGATTTTTTCCGGAACACTGACTTTCCATAGAACCACATCGAGTTCGATTACGATTCCCGTCTATCTTTGTCTAATCAGGCTGACATTTTAACTAAAAACGCTGGCAAGTGCCGATTTTTGATCCGAAACCTTACATATTTCTCCTTTAAAAAAAAACAAGAGAAAATCAGATCTTTAAAAAAGCTTCAAGTTGCTTCTGAGATATACAGTGTGTCTCAGAAATAGTCTACCAAAAGTTTTTTCGCTTCAGTTCACTATTGATTGAACTTTATCGATTAATTTTTCTTTTATATAATGGATAAATACACCGAGTTTGTATTTCTACAGACAAACTTCAAAAGCACTGTTGAAAGCTAAAAACTTTAATCGAAATACTCAAATTTAGCTTGTTTCCTGTTTCCTCAAAAACATTATGGAGCATTTCTTTTCTAATTACTTTTAGTTACTGAGTGAT